GGCTCCTAGTACAAAAGAAGGTGAGGACATAGCTTCCACGGAAAAGGAAGATAAGGGCAGTGACGTTGACAGTGATGCAGGTGAGCTTAATATCAGCTTCCTAACAGTCAAAATGCGTGCCCTAGAGATAAATCGTGAAATAGAATGGAAGAAATTAGAAATGGAACGAGAGAGACAAGATAAAGAATTAGAGATGAGACGTTTAGAATTAGAAGAAAGGAAAGCAGAAAGAGAAAGAGAAGAGAAACGAGAAAGAGAAAGAGAAGAACGAGAAAGAGAAGAACGAGAAAGAGAAGAGAAACGAGAGAGAGAAGAACGAGAAAGAGAAAGAGAAGAACGAGAGAGAGAAGAACGAGAAAGAGAAAGAGAAGAACGAGAGAGAGAAGAGAAACAGCGAGAGAAAGAAGAAAAAGAAAGACAGAGACAACATGAACTAGAAGTATTACGATTAGGCGGTGGTCGGAGGCCAACAACGGACACCAGCGGTTTCGATCCGGTACGGAACATCAAAATGGTCCCCAAATTCAATGAGAGGGAAGTTTCGAAGTTCTTTGCAGCCTTCGAGAAAGTCGCTGCCTCTTTGGAGTGGCCAAGGGAGAATTGGGCCATCATGATACAGTCAGTCTTGACTGGGAAGGCTCAAATCGCTTACTCCACGTTATCCCTTGACGACTCCGGCGATTATGACAAGGTGAAGAAGGTTGTGCTCATGGCATACCAATTGGTACCTGAGGCATATAGACAGAAGTTCCGAAACCTGAAAAAGACCTCAGAGCACACGTTCACCGAATTCGCCACAATCAAGGAGCGACTTTTCCAGGAATGGTGTGCCTCTCAGAAGGTGGAGACCAAAGAAGACCTCGAGCAGCTTATACTGCTAGAAGACTTCAAGGATTGTTTGTCTGGAGACCTGAAGACGTACTTAGAGGAACAGCAGGTAGAGACCTTGAGTGCGGCAGCCACCATGGCTGAGGAATACATCCTGACGCATAGGCCTTCTGCTAAGTACGTCCCAAGGCATTACCAACGCCGTTTTGACAGACCTCATGACGAAGAAGAAGAGACTCCCGTCCCACGAAGCGCTAAGAAGACGCCCCCAAGTAGCCCTCGAAGAACAAGTCCTAGCAGTCCGAAACACCGTAGTCCGAGGAGGAATATGGTGTGCTGGACTTGTGGGCAGAAAGGGCATGTAGCTGCTATGTGCCGAGGCAGAAGAGGTGGTGGCGCACGTAGGGAGGTGATGATGATGAGCTGTGTAATACCACCAGCAGGAAGCCAGTCGACGACGACGCAGGAAGAACCCAGATTGTTTTCCCCTCACACTTCAGGCGGGTATGTATCGAGTAATCATACTGGTAGATCAGTTGTAGTGCTCAGAGATAGTGGAGCAGCCCAGTCCCTGATCGTGAAGAGCTCGTTACCCGAGGGAGTAAGTGTGGACGGGAGACAACAGGTTGTCCTGGTTGGGTTTCCTAGGACGCAGTACATCGCCCCCTTAGTGACGGTACATCTCGACTCGCCTTACTTCAGCGGCACATGTGCGTTGGCAGTAGTCGATACCCTCCCTGTGGCTGGGATTGACGTGGTACTAGCCAACGACTTGGTGACAGATTGGAGCATCAATCTTCCCAAGGTCGCGGACGAGTCAGCCAGAACAGCAAGGTCTGAGGTAACAGGCAGTGGTAAATTCCAGGTACAGTCAAACCCGGATTCAGATATAATGTTTAATTTGTCCTCTCACCCGCAGATCTACAATATTCTAGCAGTCTCTCCTGATTCTCTCAACAAGGAACATGAGGTTACGATGGCAGAAGTACCTGAGCAAGAAGAGAGGCCTCGTGTGCAGGCACCCACGGATACCAACGAGTCTGGAGCAAAGGCGGATGTGTACTTGCGGTATGGCAAGGTACAGCGTTCATTGAACCGGCCAGAGATTCCCCAGACGTCAGAGGTATGTGAGGTGTGTTCGAAAGGTCTAGTGCCCTCTTTGGTCCAAACCAGGCTAGTGGATATAGCCGGTTATGGACATGACAGGCTCGGGAAGCTTATCCCTCAATTGGCCCCATGTTTCCTAGCAGTATTTTGTTTGATTCTCGTGTGTGTTCTCAGTAAGGATCAGTGGACGACCCGAAGGATGATGGCTCCCTTGAACGTCGTGAAGAGATCCCAGGGATTAGAGACGTGCACTATGAGTGTTGCAGTCGAAGAAGGGACCTGGAAGGTGATGGTTGATACAGGAGGTACAAGAAATGATAATATGAGTGACTGTTTCCGGCAGGTTGACAACCCCCGCGTGATAGCTGAGCCTCAATGCAGCGTCATGCGGAACGTTGGTCGACCTGACGGTGGCAGAGCGAATGCCATCTGCGAAGTACGAACAGCCCCGTTGGGACTAGGTGTGGACCTAGTAGAGTATGCTGTAAGTACTGTTTTACCTGCTGTCGCTGTCACTCTGAATTATCAGACCCCTGTATTCCAGGTGCCCGACTCCCTGAAGGACCGCCGGATCGGTACCAGAAATGCCGTCTGTGTCCAGCCATCATCGGTGCCACGACATAGGGAAGTGTCGAGTCGCCCCAGATCGTGTCCACACCGATCCTTACTTGAGAGATGTGAGATGATGCCCCTGCTTGACATCGCAGTGGAGATGTGGAAAATTACGTCAGGCAGGTCATCGCTTGCCAATTTCAAGTTTCCTTTGTGCGAGAGTTCCCCAGTGGTACGGTTCTGTGGACAAGACAGCCTCGCCATTCCAGTTCATAGAGTAAGTGAGTCCATCTGGAGTTGTGTCGCCGTACTAATTTGGTTTGTGTTTCTTTTTATAGAACCCCAAACCAAATTCTTTTTGGTGGGGAGGTGTTACGAACCCGGATCCAGCGTCCGAGCACAGAGCAGTGACGACCGCGCCATCTGTGGGTCAGCTCCCGAAACCCCCTCCAAACGGACGACGACACCTGGTGAGGACGACGTGTACTGGCCTCGAGGGCCAGTTTCCAGTCCTGTTCAGCGCTCAACACAGCCGCTCCTGACCTCTGGTGAGGTGGTGCTCAGACTACAGCGCCATCTATGAAGTGGATATGTCGGGCGTTTGTGTCTGAGCCTGTAAGTGAGGTGTTTTAGTGTCCCTGTTATTGATGACGTGTCTGCTTACAGAGTCGACCTGGGACTGCTGTGATGGAAGTTGAGTCAGTCTACCCAAGGCAGCCGTCCCCATACCTTGTGCTTTGCTGTAGCAGCTGTGAGTCGCCTCCCGGAAGAACACTGTGGTGTTACCCTGCCAGTGGAGTGGCAGTAGAAGGATTACCCGGGACCGACTGTTGGAGACGATTATCCACTGGGGTATTGAGGACAGGAGAGTGATTTGTGGTATCACACGAGGCTCCTGTCTAGGGCGTTACCCTAATATCGCCCGTGGAGTGGCCTGACCAGCGTTGCTGATCCGGAACCTGCCAGCAGACCTGCTGGACGTGTGGTTGACGGCCTCCACGGCGGTGCCCCCAGTGGACCTGTGTTTTGGCTGACCTGTGGCCAGGGTAGGCTCAGCTTCTCAGAGGATTCGTTGTGAGGCCACGAAAGCACCGAAGACTTAGCACCGAGAGCTTGATTCCAGCGTCTTCAGGAGAAGACGTTTGTGTACAGTGTTAATACCCCTCCCCCCGTGTAATCTTTTTATATATTATTTATTGGTGGTGGTCAATATATTATATTAAGTTTTTGTCTTTATTTCCCTTCCCCTTTAAGTTACTTGCATCACGGATCACATCCCTTGAAAGCCACTACTGGCTTGGGGTCGGATACAACTTCCTCTAACAACATCAGAGTAAGAACCCCGTTGCGTCCCGAGAGGGCCGTAACAGACATGAAAGCATATACTGTATAAATGATGTGCGCAGTTTCAGTTTTGTCACTGATATCATATATATATATATGATATGCGCGGTTTAAGGGTTAATTGTGATCTTCAATTTACAAAATGCCTAAAGTTACCCAAAGGAAGTGCATGATGGCTGCACAAAAGCTGCAGTTAATTAAAAAACTTCACAAAAGATCGATGAATGGTTAGAAAATGATTACGATCCTGGTAAGCCGGTGGCTGAGTGGACAGAACACTGGACGTGTGATCCTGTGGTCCCGGGTTTGATCCCAGGCGCTGGCGAGAAACAAAGGGCAGAGTTTCTTTCACCCTGATGCCCCTGTTACCTAGCAGTAAATAGGTACCTGGAGTTAGTCAGCTGTCACGGACTGCTTCCTGGGGGTGGAGGCATGGTAGAGGACCGGGCCGTGTGGATGCTAAGCCCTGAAATCATCTCAAGATAATCCTAGCCCTAGATAGTTGCACCCCATCCCGAACATACATGTCATTCCTTGTATAAAGTGTTCCCAGTTATCAATGAATGATATTGCATTTGATTTGCAATATTTGTCCAGTCAGTAATTGACACCAAGTGCCCTTGACAACCATTCATTTCCATCTCCCTTTCTTGGAAGATTGCCACATATGATCGGAATTCCTCCCTTGCTCCTAACTAATTCTATGGCTGTCTTAAATCTCTGTATCGGTGCCTCACTCAAAACTCGTCCTACATGATTTCCACCAACACTGATACAAATAATGGGTTTGTTCCAATTTCCAGCCATAATATCATTCATGTTGTTTACAATATCCTCAATTCCTGCTCCCAGATAGCAAACCCTTAACCTGTTCCCCCTATCTCTGGCACAAAAAAGTTCTATCCAAATACCTCACCTGGGAATCTCCCACAACCAAAACTCGCTTAGCTACTTCCTTTACCCGTGTTCCCCACGTTGCCACGACTTTCAAGTGAACTGCACAGCACTTGTCTTCCAGCACGGCAAATGAGTTGGAGAAATGAATATACTGTACATAAACAGACAAATAACAGCACATGCTAAAGAGAGGAAATATTTAATTGTAATAAAATTAAAAGAGTACTACAAGAAGGATAGAAAATTTAAACACAAAATGAGTAAGTACTAACCTGAAGCTCAGCTGTAAATGAGTCAAGTGGACTTAAAGTGCCACTTGTCAGTATTATACTCTTGACTCCAAGCTCTGCAAAATCTTTCATTCTGAAATGAATAACAAACTAATGTAAGTTTTCAAGCATTATAAAAACCTAGTCTCACCCTGAGATAAATCAACCACTGAATTCATAAACAACCAGCAATGAATGTAATGAAACATCAATTTCTGGGTGAGCCCTAGAGACCAAATTAAAGCTATCTAACACTGATCAGTGCCATACTATCAGCTGCCATTAGTCCCAGAGTTCTATTTGCCTGCCAGGGACCATGAGCCAGAACCTGGCCCCCCCTCGAAGAAGCACAGAGAGTAATGGTGTATGAACACTTTACATTTAAAGTTAATCATAATTGCCACAAATCAGGGAAGGCACCCAGAAAGATAGGTGAACCAAAAAGACTACTGCATGGTTAAAAATGAGACCGCAGCCCCAAAATTGCCAAAAGAACTCCCGCAACAATGAAAACAAACCCCAAAATTTTGTGAAACTAGCAAGCACTAGTTTGCTCCCCACCTCCCCTACCCTTCATTTGGGGAAAAGAGGGAGCAACAGCTACCTGGCATTGTCATACCTGACCAGTAATGGCCAGTGTGTTAACTAAAGGAGCTTCTTGGGGGGAGGGTATGCCCAGAGAAGGCATTACAGGTATTATGAATATCTGGAAAATGAAAATTAGGAAATAGCTAAAATCCATCGAGTCCCTAGAGCAAAGAAAATGAAGTTGTAAAACTGAAGTATATTGTAAGGTGGGTTTGTTATTACTAAAACCTATGGCTATCAAAAGCAGAAAATATTTCTAGAGGATAATTTAGAACAATGATAATATTAACAGCACTGTATACCAAAATGAGGCACTACATCACGACACCAAACTCTTTAAGCTGAAATGTATTCAGGAAGGACTCAAAGGAAAAAAATATCATTCCACCTTAATAACTTATCATGGGGAGGTTCCTCTTTAACCACTGTGATGCATCGAGTTTATTGTGACATTCCCCGTGTGCATGAAATCAGGTGTTCGCAAACATTTTTTTTTATCTTTGTATAATGATAAATTCCCTTCCCTGAACATATACATGTAAAAAAAAAAAAAACCAGCGTTGAATGTAATGAAACGCCATTTTCTGGGTGAGTCCCGGAGGCTCCCCGGAGCTATCCCAGGCTGATATGCTAATGTCAGACTTTGGCATCAGTCATGTGTATGGAGTTCTTAGGCCTACCGGGGAACACGGCCAGAACCGGGCCCCCTCAGAGAGGCAAGGGGAGCAATGGCCTATAGAAGCCCCCGTGTAGTTGGAAGCATTCTATGTCTGCCATCGACCGGAACAGGCACCCAGAAAGGTAAGCGCCCCAAAATAAACCCCTATTCTGGTTAAAATTGCTACCTAAAACCGAACTAGTGGATAGAACTCCCCAACCGAAAACAAGAAAACTAGTGTGACGTCACACACTGCCGCGCCGCTGTCTGTGCAGCTCCCCCTCCCCGGGAGGGGGAAGGGGGAGCCCCAGACCCCCCGCGCCGGCTACCCACACCTCAGTTCTTGAGGCTGGATGTCAAAAACGCGAAAAACCGCCGACCGGAGGGAGGGAGGGATGCCGGGGAGCCTCCGGGACTCACCCAGAAAATGGCGTTTCATTACATTCAACGCTGGTTTTCTGGGGGGAGCCCCGTCGGCTCCCCGGAGCTAACTACCCACAGACAGAAAAAGAGGGACTTACCCGGGAGGCGGTCGTCGCTCACCCCTCAACGCGAAGCCGAGACAACTGGCTGCAACCGCCGACCCAAAGCAACACAGGCCCGACGAGGCCCAGGGACATTCACAAGGTAACGAGCAGCCAGGACCCTGTTCGACCACCAAAATCCCCGCGCCCGAATATCAGACCAAGACATATTCCCAAAGACGGCAGCAAGAGCCGCGAACTTACGAACGTCATGGGCACGGGGATAGACCGCAGGCTGGCTGGACCTAATAACCCTGCGGACGACCTGAGAGACCCGAACCCGCGAACAGGGAAGAAGGGAAACCGGATCAACCCACAGCGCGTCCCCGGACACAGAAGCTGTGGCGCGCAAATAACGGCGAAGCGCCGCAACCGGACACAAAACATGATGCACCCCCGGCCTGACCAACCAAGCATCAACCACCCATGGACCCCTCCGGAACGCAGCAGTCTCATTCTTCGCCAGAAAAGAAGGAGACGGCTGCAAAGGAACAAAACTATCACCACGACCAAAAGAGCAGAAACCCCTGCGCCGGAGGAGAGCATGAAGCTCCCCTACCCGACCCCCAGAGGCCAAAGCCAACAAGAAAAGTGCCTTGGAAAAACAATCCTGGACCGAAGGGGCCACAACGAAACGAGGAGATGAAAGGAAAGCAAGCACTCTGTCCAAAGACCAGGACGGCTCAGGCGACGCATGAGCAGGCCGGAGGTGAAACAATGCACGAGACAGCTTGCGAAACGGCGCAGACGTAACATCGATACCGAAAGCAAGCTGAAGCGGCTCCGCCAGCGCCGCACGATACGAAGCGACAGTGTTAGGCATAAGATGACGGTCCTGAAACAACCACGAGAGGAAGGACAAGACCACCCGAACAGACAAGGAGCTAACACGACGAAGACGCAAAAAGAAACGGAAGGACCGCCAGGAAACTTCATACTGCCGCCGAGAAGAAGCCCTCAGGTGGGACACCAACAAGGAGGCCACCTGATCACCATAGAGATGATGATAGACCCGAGTCAAAAAAACCATACGCGAAGACTCGAGGAGAAGATCGAACCAGCTATGTGACGTACCGGCCCGATCTGCTGAAAGAGACGGAGCCGCGGGAAAACCCTCGGGTTCGGACACCGAGCAACCAGCGCCTGAAACCAAGGCTGCGCCAGAAGGGGCCAGAAGGACAACTCTCCCCCGGTAAGTCTCTAAGCGAGTCAGGACCTGGAGCAACAGCCGAACCGGGGGAAAGAGGTACAGGAACCCCCACCTCGACCAGTCTAGCCGAAAGGCATCGACCCCGACGGCCTCGCAATCGGGGAAGGGCGCCGCATAAACGGGAAGACGCCGCAACCACGCCGACACGAAGAGGTCCACTTCGGGGCGCCCGAACGCCTGGCAAAGCCAACGGAAGGACTCGTCGTCGACCGTCCACTCCGTGGAGAGGGGAACGAAGCGAGACAGGGCGTCGGCCAAGACATTGGACACGCCCCGTACGTGAACCGCCAGGAGAGCCAAACCCTGAGAACTCAGCAGACGAGTCACCCGAAGCGACCAACCCCAAAGAGACAAGGACCGCATCGAACCCCCGCGGTTCAGGCAATGAACCACCGGAGAGCAGTCCGAATGGAGCCGAATCGTCGATCCGCGGGCCACCCGAATCCTCCCCAGAGCAAACCACACCGCCGCGAACTCCCGCACCGTACTGTGAGCTCGACGGAAGGACGGATCCCAACGCCCCTGGCCGGCCTGGTGAGCACTGGTCACAAAACCCCAGCCGAGAGACGACGCATCCGTGTACACATCGAGCGAGGGCTCTGGTAGGCGCCAAGGCACTGAACCCCGAAAAACCCGAAGAGGAAGCCGGTGACGCAGCAACCGACGCAAGTCCCCCGGGGGTCGAACTCTGCGATCGCGAGAGAGGCGGAAGGGGGAACCCCGAAGGAACCAGAACAGCCGTCGAAGCCAAACCCGACCCGGCGGGTAGACCACCATCGCGAAGTTCAGGCTCCCGCACAGCCCCTCGAGCAACCGCCGGGTGACCCGAGGGCCCTCCAGAAACAGACGAAGGCGGGACCGCAGCCGCAGGAGAGACTCCGGAGGGAGAGACAAAGAGGCGGTTCGAGAGTCCCACACGAGACCCAGCCAAGTCCGAACCTGAGAGGGAACCAGATGGGACTTCCTCCAGTTCACCAAGAACCCGAACCCGGCGAGCTGGGAAAGAACCAAATCCCTGGCTAGCAAGCAAGCTGACTGGCTGGGAGCCCAAACCAGCCAGTCGTCGAGGTAGGCCAACACCCGAACACCTAGGAGACGCAAACGAGCCACCACAACCCGTGTAAGGCGTGTGAACACGCGAGGTGCCAGGTTCAACCCGAACGGGAGACAACGAAAGCGGTAACTCAGACGCCCCACTACAAAACCGAGCCAGTCCCTGAACCGCGGATGAATCGGGACATGCCAATAAGCGTCCCGGAGGTCCAGGGACATCATCCAAGCTCCCGGCTTCAAGAGGAGCCGAACCTGAGACAGCGTAGTCATCCGAAAGGAGGGGCAATGAACCCAGGGGTTCAGACGGGACAAGTCCAGAATGAACCGCAGGTCCGCGCAGTCCCGTTTCGGAACCGGAAACAGACGGGAAACCCATCTGAGGGACGACGTCGTTTCGACGACGCCCAAGCGTACCCACTCCAAGACGACTCGACAGAGCGCAGGGGAAGAAGCCTGCCCTGCCAGCCCCGACCCCCCAAAGGGGGGAGGGGCCACCCAACGCCACCGCAGGCCGCGAGACACGACCCGAAAGGCCCACGAATCGTGGGACCAGGCGCGGGCGAACAGCGCAAGCCGCCCCCCATCGCCCCGTCAAGGGGGCAAACCGCGAAAGGGCCGGCGACCCTTACGAGACCCAGAACCCCGCACAGCGCGAACACCGCGCCGACCAGACGAGGGAGGGTCCGCAGGAGGAGCCAACCCCAAACCTGACACCAGAGGCCTACCACGACGAGAGGAACCCCGAGCCCTGGCACGACCTTTCCGGGAAGACCCACCCCGGGACCCCCGGAAAACCAACAAGTCCGACATCGGACGACAAGCCGCCGACGCAGGCTGAATAAACTGCGCCACGGCCGACTCCCCAAACAGGAGAGGACAAAAAGGTGAAGAACGCCTAAGAGCCAGAGCCCAAGCAGATTCCACGGAGGAACCCAGCTCCGCCTGCCGACACGCGAGACGGGAAGCATAGAACAGGGAAACCGCATCCCGCAAAATCGGCGTGAACAGCTTCAACAAGGCAGCCGACGAACGCGCAGCCGAGGACAAGGTGCCGGACCCCGGGACGGACCCAAGCGTCCCCACATCCTCCATGAGCCAATCCGAAGACAGCTCCAGGAGGGAAAATAACCGCAAGGCTGAACACAAAAGGCCCCGGGCGCGCAAGTCCTCCGCCACGAGCGCTGCCGAAAGGGAGGGAACCCCCTTTTGGCACATGGAGCTGAATAACGCCCACATCGCGGGGAAGGGCAGGGGCAAACAAGCACTCATTCAGGTACTCAAGTTCACCCCCCAGGAAAACCTGAAGCACCGTGGAAGCTTCCCGCCACTCCAGCGTGCGGGAACGACAGAAGGAATGCCAGGAATCCAGACCAAACAAGGGGCAGTCTGCTAGCCAGGACGACTCCGGAACCTCGTAACGGAGCCAGAAAGGGAACGAAGTCCCAAACCTGAATGTGGACGGATCAATTTCCGAGGCATAATCCGGGTCACGCAGGAGGTAAGCTGCAAAGGCCGCTCGCACCACACCAGGTTGGATGCGATAAGCCGAAAACCTCCGGAAGGACGGAACCGACGTACCCGGGGGAACACGGAACCGAACCCGGGGAGGGGCCGACACCAAATCCAACTCGTACGCAGAGGGGGGAAAAGAAAACCCCACTCCTTGTAACAATAAGCCCCGCTCAGTGGGAAGAAAAACCCAGGCGGGGTCCAGCGGGGCCCAAGGCCCCCAAGTCAGCCCCTCCCCAGCCTCGAGGTCCGTCACCACAGGACCCGAGGCCGAGTCCTCTCCCCAAGCCCCGACCCCACAAGACAAGGACGGAGCAGCCGGAAAAGCTGGAGGAAGGGGGGCCCACTGGTCAGACCCTGAAGCTTCGGCCGGGAGACAAGACTCGAATGCCTCTGCCGCCCCCCCCCAACCCCCGAAGCTGCCCGAGTCTCGAGATCAAGTAACCCCTGCTCCGACCCCGAAACCCTCAGATGCTTCGGGGCCGGAAGCAGGGGCGGGGGACCAGAACGAACAGAAGGGGAAGGACGAGGAGGTGCGGACTGAACCAGGATCGAAGCGACCCCCACCCCCAAGTCCGGGTCTCGAAAAGCAAAGCGGGGCAGCCCCGGGGCATCCGGGGAAGCAACCAACCGAGCGCGTTGCAACAGACGAAACCTAGACTGCAACGCACGTGCCGCCTGTACCCGAATAGAATCATCAGAGGATTGGGTAAATTGAGTCACAAGCAAGCAGCAACACTCACAGGACTCAGGGTCGAAAGTATCACCGACCCAACAGGCAGCGTGGCAGAGGCAAAAACAATGAGGGTCACCCTGAGACAAGGGGACCGAGCAACCCTCAAACTCGCACACAGCGAGTGGGGACTCCGGGGTCACATCCATCGGACCCACGCGCCCCCTAGGGGATTCCCAGGGTCCTGAGCGTTTACTTTAAGAGGACTCGCGCTCAGGTAGTCCCAGGCAGGGTGCTGCAAACCGGCGCCCAAAACTACCAAGCAAACTTCTAAAGCTGAACCCCAGGGACGTGTACACTCACGGGGACCTAGCAGGGGGCGCCACCGAGGAGAACAGTGGAAGGGCAAAAACAAACTGAATAAAAGGACAGAACCCCCCACCAGGCAAAAACAAAAAGAAAAACAAAACCCCGCAAGAGGACAGCGAACCCCAAGGAACAGAGCCGGCCGCGATGTCGGGAAATACAAGCTGAGCAGCACCCTGCGCCCCTACCAGTGCAAACTGCCTCTTACCTGCCGGTAACAAGGGAGAACAGAACACCCAAGAGCCCAACAGGCGGCCGAAAAACCGAAAGGTAAAACGGACCAGCAGAGGCAGACCCCGAGGAGCCTGTGGAAGGTGGCCCCAAGCCCCAAGGGCAGTACTTACAGGGCACCTAGGGAAGGCAGCCCTAGGCGCATGCAGCCCGAGTACTGAAGATAACTCCTGGCTCTCGCACACACAAAACTAACACCACACGCAAAGCACAGTGCAGTAGCGACACCGGAGCCAGAGCACACGACCATCGCCTATAGCATCAGCCTCAAGAACTGAGGTGTGGGTAGCCGGCGCGGGGGGTCTGGGGCTCCCCCTTCCCCCTCCCGGGGAGGGGGGAGCTGCGCAGACAGCGGCGCGGCAGTGTGTGACGTCACACTAGTTTTCTTGTTTTCGGTTGGGGAGTTCTATCCACTAGTTCGGTTTTAGGTAGCAATTTTAACCAGAATAGGGGTTTGTTTTGGGGCGCTTACCTTTCTGGGTGCCTGTTCCGGTCGATGGCAGACATAGAATGCTTCCAACTACACGGGGGCTTCTATAGGCCATTGCTCCCCTTGCCTCTCTGAGGGGGCCCGGTTCTGGCCGTGGTCCCCGGTAGGCCTAAGAACTCCATACACATGACTGATGCCAAAGTCTGACATTAGCATATCAACCTGGGATAGCTCCGGGGAGCCGACGGGGCTCCCCCCAGAAAATCCACTTACTTTGGCTGTAGGGACATGGACAAGGGGGCATCATGGGCTGCAGGTTGCCTGTGCGTGAAGCTCCTAGACACGGTCAGGCCATTCAAGCACTGAGTTGCCATATATATATATTTTTTCAATTATTTGTTCTATGTATTTCCAATGCGGCTTTATTAGTTTTTTTATCGTATATGATGCATATTTGTGTCCTTTACAATATGTATACAGTATAACGTTAATAATGTTCCATGGAACTGTGATACATGTGTCGATAATGTGTCGACAATAAATGTTTATTGTCACAATATTATTAGCTAAAAATTCACTAAAATTACAATATGTACATTTTCACATACTATTTACACAGTAACACACTGTATTATACACTCAGTACTTCAGAAATGAGTAATAATCAATGAAGCAGTCCATGGTACACAGCCGACTTCGCTCTCGTTGCACCAGGGTACAGATAGAGTTTTGCATCTGTTTCTTCGTTCTGTGTGCTTGCAAATAACGCACTCACGTACACCCTTGGTTTTAGTACCTGTAGGTGGTATGTAGCCAATCTTGTAAAGCATAAGGTAGTCTTGAAAAGAATATAGGAAAAGATCCATTTGTAAGGTAGTCTTGAAAAGATTGCTTTGTAAGGTCTCTCATTGGAAGAGTTTCAGTCATTCTCGAAGAATGTCAGTCACTCAGGAAGAGATTCAGCCATTCTGGAAGAGGTTCAGCTATTCTTGAAAATATTTATGGAAAATACCACCATGGAAGTTCATCACTGTTCATAACACTGTTCATCTATGATACTTGTATCAGATGCATCACCACCGACCCCAGAAAATGATTCATCTATGTATCATCTACACAAATTGGAGATCGCATAAGTGGGCAAGGGTGACACTCAAGAGCTACAACTGGATACATTCGCTGTATCATATCTTGAGGTTATCTTGAGATGATTTCGGGGCTTTAGTGTCCCCGCGGCCTGGTCCTCGACCAGGCCTCCACCCCCAGGAAGCAGCCTGTGACAGCTGACTAACACCCAGGTACCTATTTTACTGCTAGGTAACAGGGGCATAGGGTGAAAGAAACTCTGCCCATTGTTTCTCGCCGGCGCCCATCCTCATAGGTGCTGTATCACTTGCATCCGACCTTTGTATTAGGTCCTTATTGCGCTTAGCTTCACCAATATCATGACCCTCATGTTCCTCAAACAATAAGGTCTGAATTTCACTGACAGAGAGCGATCTTTCAACACTGCATCGGACAGGTGTTTGAGAACAAGAGGCATGTGCATCACCCATGGTTGCTCACTCAGTACTAACCCAACCAGCAGCCCTAGGACATTCTAGGATTTTTTTCCAAAATGGCCGATTCTCACTAGAGGTCCCAAGAGTCCATTTCGTACACAACCTACTGTGCACGCGTTTTGAATGGGTACAAAATATTCAAAAAGTGTTTTCTCGGATGGTGTAGTTTCCCACCGACCGAGTTTTCTTGGTTGGCGCAGCACAGTAGTTCAGTGGTTAAAGAATACAATGGCAGTCAATAAGAAACAGAAAGTAACATGGAATGGCAATATTATTGAGCTACATACACTACTTGGCAGCATGCTGAAAACCCAAACAAAGGATGATTTAACTGACCCAAACCCAGGGTTGAAGCACCAGTAGGATATAAGTCGTCCAACCTTGGAATTGATGGGATTAGCTTTTGGGGCGGCACCCCAAACATCCTGACGACCACCAGGCTTCTTTTTTACCTCCTCTGTGTTGATATGAACCTTAAAATACAACAAATTAAAGCTGCAGCAATTAAAATACTGTGTCTTGTTAAGCAGGTTTAATAGTAACATTTTCAATGTAAATAGTCATCTCTAGTACATACATCACTAGTTGTCTATATTTTTTGTATTTAAAACTGAACAGAAATATCCACTATTTTTTACTATAAAGAATGATTCCTATAGAGAAACATCACAAATATTCAAGGTGAATTAGCTTTCTGAAACTAGCTTCATTTTAAAAGTAACAAGGTACTATAAGTAAAAATATTTATTCTGTAAACATATATAATTTTTTTTTGTCTATATACAGTAATCCTTTATCATGTTCTCAATACAATTTGTAATCATAACCATCTATTTACCTAAATATCTGTTCATCCTCTTATTAATATAATTATCTCCACATTAACTCTGTTCTTAAGAAACTGGCATTGGGCAGATATACAAGATCTCCTAGAACAATGGTAGAAATCTATGTACCATGGCCTTTTAGATGTGTGAATGATCAATACAGTACACATTTATCAGCTCAATACTTTCTCTGTAAAGGTTTGAGTAGAATTAATTTATTGAAGGTTTCGTTAGGTTCTCTTAGCTTTGGCTAGGCTTTTGCGCTCCATCAATACATTATGTAACATTTGTATTAATTATAATGTACATTTAAATTCACAAAAGAAAATATTTTCAAACTTAACCCTTGAACTGCACATGGTGCCTTAACCCTTGTGTTGCTAAGGGCTATTTGGCCATCATCACCCACAGGCGCATAACAAAAAAAAAAAAAAAAAAAAAAATTTCTTCTAAACCTGTTAATTTGTGTTCTCTGATCATGGGAAAAATAATAAAAAAATTGTAAGTGGCATATTTTTCCCGCTATAGGGCGGGAAAGTCTGGCAAAAAACAGGCGTCCCAGACGTGCTCCGCCCCAGCTGTCATGCAGGAGTGGCCACAGAGATAATTACCTAATTATTTCAATGTCTCTTGATTGATTTTTCTGTTTTTTTACTGTAATATTATTCAATAATGTGTAGTGTGATATATTTATATAATAAAATGTGTGAATCATCGCTGTACTCAAAATTATGGTGTGTATACTGTTGATTCAATTATTATGTTCATCAAACAGTGAACAAATACTTTGTCAGTTATTACACTATATACACAAGTTATATATAAGTATCTGCATGTTTTGTTCACCATAATGAACCACTAAGCTGGTATTATGAGTCAAAAAGCAACAAGGAGTGACCACAACACACCAGCCAGCCACTCACTTCCTCAACACCTCACTCGCCCACATTCTCCTCCCACCAGGGAGCCGGTCGGCCGAGCGGACAGCTCACTGGACTTGTGTTCCTGTGGTCCCGGGTTCAATCCCGGGCGCCGGCGAGAAACAATGGGCAGAGTTTCTTTCACTCTATGCCTCTGCTACCTAGCAGTAAAATAGGTACCTGGGTGTTAGTCAGCTGACAAGGGCTGCTTCCTGGGGGTGGAGGCCTGGTCGAGGACCAGGCCGCGGGGACACTAAAAAAAAAGCCCCGAAATCATCTCAAGATAACCTCAAGATAACCATACTGTTTTTGCTTTTATTCACTATATACAGACATTATATATAAGTATCTGCATGTTTTGTTCACCATAGAGAACAACTAAGCTGCTATAGTGAGTCTAGAGTAAAAGGTGGTCACACAGAGTCAGCAGACAATGCTACCTCCCTCCCCACCAAGATTACTCCTCCCACTATAGCCCTAATTATCACAACAATCCTGCTATTGTCAGAATCCTGGTCATTTTGATCACAGTCAGGGGTCTTCTGTAATACTATCATCGCTAAATAATAGCATGAACATATATATTATGGCTTTTTGGGCGATGCTGTGGGTCACAAGCTGAACAGCAGTGCTGTGAGCTCATGCTGCGTGCGCCAGCCTTGGTGGCTCGCTCATACCTGGGAATGTGGCCCACAATTTTTTTTTTAAATGGCGTCTGTTTATGCCAAGAGCCCTGATGAAGGCGAGGTGAACCCTGTGTATCCGCGGGCCGTTTAAATCTTGTGTAGTATTCCATCGCGTCATATTTATTGCAAGTTATTCAACCCTGCATATGACGTGTTGCGTAGTTTAAGGGTTAAGGCACTCGATCAGGGGTGTACATAGTGCCATGAGGCACTCGAAGGTATATCATAGGATTCAAAACTGGCGCCTGGTCACATGGGTGTAAGATGGAGACCTGAGGCCTCCAGTGAGCATCCGCCATCTTTAAAGAATTCCCAGTATGCCATACGGCCGTGGGCAACCTCAGTTTCAAGATAGCAACCATGTCAGAAACAGTCACATCTTAGTGGCATGTCAAAGACATGCCACTAAGTGTCTCCCAGAACTAAGGGCAAGAGCTACAAGGAGAGGTTAGAGGCATTAAATATGCAAAAACTAAAAGACAAGACGAAAAAGAGGCGATATGATCACTACGTACAAAATAGTAACAGGAATTGATAAAATTGATTAGGGAAGATTTCCCCGAGACCTGAACTTCAAGAACAAGAGGCCATAGATTTAAACTAGCTAAACACAGATGCCGAAGAAATATAAGAAAATTCACTTTCGCAAACAGAGTGGCAGACGGTTGGAACAAATTAGGTGAGAAGGTGGTGGAAGCCAAAACTGTCAGTAGTTTCAAAGCGTTATACGACAAAGAGTGCTAGGAATACGGGACACCACGAGCATAGCTCTCATCCTGTAACTACACTCAGGTAATTTCACATACATATACACACAGGTCAATAACACAAAGGGCAGACTCCCCCCCCCACCCCACCAGGCAGAAAACAAAAATAAAAGGAAAACTCCTTAAGCATACAACATCCCCAGGCAGATCAGAGCCAGCTGCTATATTAGTACCTTGCGCCCCTACCAGTGACGAAACTACCTCCTACCCAGAGGCAAACAGTGGCGTAAGAAATGCCCCAGCTGACTCCAAGGGCAGGCAATTACCAAGCAGCAAAAGACCACAGTGGAGGTAGGTCCCAAGCAACTTGTGGAAGGTAACCCCAAGCCACAATGGTAGTACTTACAGGGAACCTAGGGAAGGTAACCCCAAGCCACAAGGGTAGTATTTACAGGGCACCTAGGGAAGATAACCTGAGGCGCATGCAGCCCGAGTACAGTACTTGTGAAATTACTCCTGGTTCACACACTACCTCAGAACAGGACCACAGCACTGAGCACTGTCAAGGACCAGACTCGCACAACTGCCTAGAAACCAGTTGGGATCAAATGGGTGCAAGCGCACTCAAGTCAGCCCCTATCACGCCAGGGGAGGGGGAAGCTGCGTAGACAGCAGCACAGTGACGGTTGTGACGTCATGCTAGATTGCTCGTCTTAGTTTGGGGAGTTCTGTTCAACAGTTCGGCTTTCAGTAGCAATTTCTTTAACCAGGTAAGGTTAGTTTTGAGGTGCCTACCATTCTGGGTGCTTGACCCGGTCGATGGCAGACATAGAATGCTTCCAACAACACGGAGGTTTCTATAGGTCATTGCTCCTCGTGCCTCTCTGAGGGGGCCAGGTTCTGGCTCATGGTCCCCGATAGGCAGAACTCCATTCACTTTGACTGATGCCACGGTCTAATACGTTCGTATCAGCCCGGATAACTTCATAAAACCGAAGGGGCTTCCCCGACAAAAACATTGGAAAGTTGTTTTGCAAACTAAGTTATAGATGATTGAAATAAATGAGAAGGTGGTGGATGCTAAAACTGTCAGTAGTTACAAAGCATCATATGACAAAGAGCATAGTACTGGGAGGTCGGGACTCCACAAGCATAGCTCTCATCCTGTAATTACACTTAAGCAATTACTCCTGTGTAATGCATGAGAACAGTGCCAACAAGAAAGGGAGGGAACGCTGGAGGAAGCACTATGGCCCGAGAATCTGACCCAAACAGAAGTGTCCCTAGACCCACAACAAGCATGTTTCTGACCCAAGAAAACAGGTCCCAAGCAGCAGGGACAGAACATCATTGAGGAAGAAAACACAAATGTGGAGGTAGACAAAAGGGAAAATGAACAAGCCAAATCAAAACCAGGGACAAACACAGCAAACTCTGAAACTCTCAAAAGTGTTGAAACCCAGAGAAGGGGAAAAAGAGGCCAGGTGCACCGAGCCAGATGACATGGGGATGGAGAAAGGGGGGGGGGGGGCAAACCTGGAGCAAATGAAAACCACTAGTCACTCAATTCCACATGTCTAAATACCACTGGGGCCCCTCAGTGGAGCATCCAGAGGTACCAAGCCGCATACAGGAAAACAAGCATAAAGCAGCTGCTGTTTGATAGGCCTCACTCCTAGATAGTGACTCGCCAAAAATAGACACCAAATGAACATAAATGCGCAGCTCTTTGGGTAGGCAGCTGGTACTAGAGGGTGAATGATCTAGCTACTGGGTGGATTATATGCCGAGTAGTTTGTTTACTTCTAACCTTTCTGTTGTCTGTTTTGCTTCACTCCTTTTTCAGGTGGTGATTCCTAAGTTCTGGTGAATCCTGATCCCTTGTAGCTTTGTGAGATGGAGGGCCAGGTTTTGGTCTCTGGTTTCCAGCATTACTGACTCACAAAGGCCAGGTGTGACTTAATAGTGTGGAGCTAACCAGAGTGGCTAGCTACAGGGAGCCACTAGAGCCACATGTTTATTTCTCCCTCCAGAGAAGCAGACATGTGTGTGTATACATACATATACACAAAATACTAGAATATATGTATGCATCAAATTCCTGAGCATGCATATACATGTAAAGCAGAGTTAAAACACAATATTTATGATAGCATATTATAATTTACCTTATAGCACTGTTTTACAAATTCCATGTGTTGAAGTGAAAATTTATCTTTGCTAAAAACAATCTTTATTAAGTCAGAAAACTTCTGAAGACCAGCTCCTTTACGCTGAAATGGGGAAGCACTGGTTGTTGTCAAGTACTGTATCTGTAAGTAAAGAATAAGCCACAATAAAACTCCTTTGATTATGTATATTTGTATTTCACATGTTAAGTACATGGAGTTATGAGTTAGATAGCTCCAGCAAAGCATCACAATTGAACATTGGGTCTCTCAGCAGAGACATAAATTTATCTGCATAACTTCCTGCCTTTGAATTAAGAAGAAAAATAATTAAACACACACATTCATCATGATTGGTATAATTTATCTTATTGTACAGTCCAGAAATGGGAACATCAATAAATCATCAGTGACTACAACTAACAAAAAAAAAAAAAACAGCATTGAATGTAACGAAATGCCATTTTCTGGGTGAGCCCCGGAGGCTTCCTGAAGCTATCAAACTGACATGTGCCATATTAGTTTGGTGCTGAACCACTCCCCCCTCCCCAGTTCAAAGAATAATTAAAACCTCTGACAAAAGGGAGGGAGGGGTGTCAGAGAGACTCTGGCGCTCACCCAGAAAATGGAGTTTCATTACATTCAATGCTGGTTTTCTGAGGGGAGCTTCGTCAGCTCCCTAAAGCCATCTAACCACAGATAAGTAAAAACAGGGACTTACCCAGGAAGCGGCAGCACCGCAGGTCTCACGATGAAGATGAGACAACTGGCGGCAACAGACGTCCCAAGGCAACACAAGGCCGTAGAGGATCCAGGACGTTAACAAAATATCTGGTGGCGAGGACCCTCTTCGATTTCCAACCCCCCCCCCCCCCCCAATATGTATCCAAGATATATTACCAAAGACAGTAGCCAGAGCTGCATACTTACTCACATCATGGGGCACAAAGGTAGATTGCAGGCTGGCTAGACTTGATAACCCTGCAGACAACCTGAGAGACACGAGCCCTGGAACAGGGAACCAAGAGCATGAAGTTCCCCCACCCAACCTCCAGAGGCTTAAGCCAACAAAATCAAATCCTTGAGAAAATAATCCCAGACAGATGGGACCACTACAAACCATGGAGAAGAGAGAAACAAGAGCCCCCCCCCGGTCCAAACACCAAAAGGGCTCGGGCAGCGCATGAGCAGGCTAGAGGTGAAAAAACGCACGAGAGCTTGCGGAACGGAACGAAGTGACATCTGCCCCGAACTCAAGTTGAAGCAGCTTGCAAAGGGAAAAGGGAAAAGAGGAGACAGTATTCGGCATGAGACACCAGTCCTGAAAGAGAGGACAAAACAACTGGAACAGACACAGACAAAATCCTACAAAGGAAAGGAAATGGCAGAAAGACCACCCGGAGACTTCATACTATCGTTGAGAGGCAGACTGCAGGTGGGACACCATCAATGAAGCCACCTGATCATACAAATGGCGATACACCCACATCAGAAAACCCAGATGCAAAGTGCAGAAGAGTAAGCCAAAGTAGCAAGGTACCTCACGGGTCCAACCTGCTGAAAGAAGCAGAGCCGCAGAAAAACCCTCAGGTTCGGACACCATGCAAGCAGTATCTGAAACCAAAGATGGGCTGGCCACCATGGGGCCAGCCCATTTCGACCAGTCCTGCTGGAAAGCATCCACCACGAACGCCTCGCAGTCGGGAAACAGCAACACATATATGAGAAGGCGCTTTACTAAGCCGACATAAAGAGGTCCACCTCCGTGCAGCTGATTGTCCGACAAAGCCACAGGAATGAGGCAGCGTCGACCGTCCACTCCGTAGAAAGAGGAATGAAGCGAGATAGGCCATCCGCCAGGACACTGGACATACACTGAATGTGAATTGCGCAGAAAGCTAAACCCCGAGAACTCGGTAGAAGAGCTACCCAAAGCAACCAGTCCCAAAGAGCCATAGACCGCAGAGACCCTCCCCCGGTTGAGACAACGAACCACAGAAGAGCATTCCGAATGGAGTCGAATCACCAAGCCCCAAGGCAACCGAATCAGCCGCAGTGCCTGCCACACAGCCACAAACTCCCGCACTGTGCTGTAAGCCCAACGGAAGGACAGAGCCCAATGCCCCTGGCTGGCCTGGTGAGTGCTGGTTACAAAACCCCAGCCGAGAGACAAGGTGTCTGTGAACACATCAAGCGAGGGGAAGGGGAAGGCACCAAAGCACCAAACCCCAAAAAACCTGAAGATGCAGCAACCGACACAAGGATCCCAGAGGTCGAACCCAACAATCGCGAGAGCGGTAAAAGGGGCTGCCCCGAAGATACCAGAACAGCCTCCGAAGTCTGGTTGATACCTGGTTGATGGGGTTCTGGGAGTTCTGCTCCCCAAGCCCGGCCCGAGGCCAGGCTTGACTTGTGAGAATTTGGTCCACCAGGCTGTTGCTTGGAGCGGCCCGCAGGCCCACACACCCCACCACAGCCCAGTTGGTCCGGCACTCCTTGGAGGAAACAATCTAGGTTCTTCTTGAAGATGTCCACTGTTGTTCCGGCAATATTTCTTATGCTCGCTGGGAGGACGTTGAACAATCGCGGACCTCTGATGTTTATACAGTGTTCTCTGATTGTGTCTATGGCACCTCTGCTCTTCACTGGTTCAATCCTGCATTTTCTTCCAAATCATTCACTGCAGTACATTGTTATTTTACTGTGTAGATTTGGGACCTGGCCCTCCAGTATCTTCCATGTGTATATTATTTGGTATCTCTCTCGTCTCCTTTCTAGAGAGTACATTTGGAGAGCTTTGAGACGATCCCAATAATTTAGGTGCTTTATCTCGTCTATGTGTGCTGTATATGTTCTCTGTATTCCCTCTATTTCAGCAATCTCTCTTGCTCTGAAGGGGGAGGTGAGTACTGAGCAGTACTCAAGACGGGACAACATATGTGATTTAAAGAGTACAACCAATGTGATGGGATCCCTGGATTTGAAAGGTCTCGTAATCCATCCTATCATTTTTCTGGCCGACGCAATATTTGCTTGGTTATGCTCCCTAAACATTAGATCGTCGGACATCATTATTCCCAAATCCTTGACATGCTGTTTTTTTACTATAGGCAAATTCGATTGTGTTTTGTACCCTGTATTATGTTTCAGATCCTCATTTTTGCCGTACCTGAGTACCTGAAATTTATCTGTTAAATATCATGTTATTTTCTGCTGCCCAATCGAAAACTTTGTTGATATCTGCTTGTAATTTTTCAATGTCTTCAGCAGAGGTAATTTTCATACTGATTTTTGTGTCATCTGCGAAGGATGACATGAAGCTGTGACGTGTATTTTTGTCTATATCTGATATGAGAATAAGGAACAGTAGCGGTGCAAGGACTGTACCTTGAGGTACAGAGCTTTTAACTTCGCTTGGACTCGATTTTATTTTATTGACTGTTACTCTGTGTTCTGTTCGACAGGAAATTGAGTATCCAGCATCCTACTTTACCAGTTATTCCCATTGACCTCATTTTGTGTGCTATCACCCCATGCACACATTTGTTGAACGCCTTTGCAAAAGTCTGTGTATACAACATCTGCATTTTCCCTTTCTTCTAGAGCTTCTGTGATTTTGTCATAGTGGTTGAGTAACTGTGACAGACAGGATCTTCCCGCTCTAAATCCATGTTGTCCTGGGTTGTGCAACTCATTATTTTCCATAAAACTAGAAATTTGATTCCTAATTGTGGGTTGAACCAGTCTCCTCGGTCCCTTGTTCCAAGACTTTTCCTTTTCAGGTTGTTCGCAGTTTCTTCATTACCATCCTATGGGTGTGGGGGGTTCCAGTTGTCCTGGGTTTGGGAAGTCCTGTTTCCTGTTGGGGTGCCTAGGCTTTGGTGGTCTTCTGTGGTCTTGGCTTGCCTTTTTTCAGCCAGGCGGCTCTTCATCGTTTTTGTGTTGGCAGTTCTCTCTTCTCCCTGGTGCTTGCCTACTGACTCTTTTCCATGGGTAGTTAGCTTCAGGGAGCCACAAGGGCTTTTCTTCAGAAAACTAGCGTTGAATATAATGAAGCACCAATTTCTGGGTGAGCCCTATTGACTTCCCGACACCCTACCTCTCTTCAGGTCATCAGGAGGTTTGCATCTTCATCAAATTGAGGGTGGAGCAGCTGGCTTACTCCTGGCTGCCTCCCTCCTCCCACCAAATGAATGGTGAGGTGGGGCAAACAAGCTGGTGCTAGTTTCATGAAATTTCAATTGTTTGTTTACATTGTTAGTTGCTCTATAGCCATTCTGGAGGCTGTGGTCTCGTTTAAAGCCAGCAGTGGTTTGTTTTGTTTCGCCGACTTTCTGGGTGCCTTCCTCGGTGGTGCCATACATGAGTAACTTAATATATAATGTCACTGCTTCCTGCACCTCTGTGAGGGGGCCAGGTTCTGGCTCTTGGCTCCCAGTAGGCCATAGAGCTCCGTGACTGATGGGATTAGTGGTATGATACACTATCAGAGATAGTAGCTTCAGAGACACAGGGCTCACCCAGAAATTGGCATTTCATTACATTCAAAGCCAGTTTTATATGCTTAATTTTTGTGCTACAGTCATAACAGTATATTTACACACAAACAATTATGATAGTGTACATGGGCTTTGTATAATTGGTATTCATTTGTGCTTTCTATAAACAACCATGAATTTGTACTTTGTATTAAACAACACATTCTACATTAAACTTACCAGCTTGTCCAAAATCTCCAGAATAATAGTTTTCTTATGGTAAGTAATGTCTGCCTTCTCTAGAAGTTCAAACATAAAGCTGCCTGGAAAAGTGGATCCAGATCCATCAGATGAAAGTGCTATAGCATCTACAGCCTGGTAAGAAAGAATAATGGAGCATATTATACCTTCACTGGGCCCACTTGTCAATTTTTATCATGCAATTAGATATCTAAAGGTCACAACAAATGTCATCAATAGTGAATTTGGTCATCGTGATGCCTTGCCAAAAGAAAAGTTGTTCAACAGTCAATGTCTAAGCTTGTCCGGATGTGAACTATGGGACCTACACAATGCTGACCTTGGTAATCTTAAATGTGAATAGAGGAATTGTTCTAGACATATCTTCGTGTCCATCCTTGCACTCATTGCAATCTCTTACCGGGTGTGATGTACACACCGACATGACAATGATACAACAGAAGACACAGGCAAGAGTATGAAAACAACAACATGGCAACTATACTATCAACTATCTATTATCACAACAACATGGCAACTATATACTATCAACTATCAACTATAATTGAGAGGGCAGCCTCTACTGCCTGTAGAAATAGATCCCATCTGCTCATCATTGGGGACTTCAATCACAGAATGACAGACTGGGAGAACAAGGATTCGCATGGAGGTGAGAATACGTAGAGAGCTAAACTATTGGAGGTGGCGGCAAAAAACTTTTTAAGCCAGCATGTCAGGGGATCCACAAGAATGAGAAGCAACAATGAACCAGCGAGACTCAACCTAGTCTTCACTCTGAATGACTCCAACATAAGGGAAATCAGTTTCGAGTCCCCAGTAGGAATGAGAGATCATAGTGTACTGACATTTGAGTACCTGGTCAAAGAAGTGTTAATGAACTCAAAGAAGGGACCTGAAAACAAAAGGCTGGCATTCCAAAAGAGAAACTATGAGGAGATAAGAAAATTCCTAATAGATATAACTGGGGAAACAAAGCTCAGGGAAAAGACGGCCCAAGACATGATGGACTACATCACACAGAAGTGTAAGGAGGCAGCAGACAAGTTTGTCCCAGTCCAAAAGGAAAAAAACAAAATGCAGATGAGAAACTCATGGTTTAATCAGAGATGTAAGCTAGCAAAGCAACAGAGTACAAGGGCATGGAGAAACTATAGAAATAACAGGACACTTGTGAGCAGAGTAAGATACCAGAGTGCAAGGAATGAATATGTCGGGGTGAGAAGAGGAGACGGGCAATACAAAAATGATATAGCAAGCAAGGCAAAGACTCAACCTAAATTGTTAAACAACCACATCAGGAAAAACAGTACAGGGAGTCTTCACTCGTGGGTATGTAATGTTTTTTTTTTCTAAACCTCTGTGTTGGCCATCTTGCTCTCAGATCCATTTCGGTTCACCTGGAGATCCATAATGTAAGTATCCATTACAGCAGAGCTCCACTGTACCTGTGAAGTTTAGTCTCAGTGATACACCAATTAGTATAAAGATGCACAACAAGATGAAAACAATAATTCAAATTACCTTTTCAAGTTCTAAGAAGAGTGCTTTTAATGTATAAAGATCATGTGGATTGAAATCTTCAGGTAAAGCTTGACTAGAGTCATTAGCTGCAATATCTGATCCTTCACTGATGTCCTGAAGTTTCTTCATTACCTGATAAATAAATAAATATTATTTCAAATGATTAAGCTACATTCAATATACAGTAATTTTTTTTTTTTTACTTAGCTGCATATTGACCCATCTAAAGTTTTATGACATATTCACCCCAAAGAACACATCACCCCTAGGACTTTCAGGGGTTAGGCTAGTAACACGTACACCCTTCCCCAGAGTATTCACCAACTGAGAAATATGAAGAAATTTCCAAAGAAATGGTTTGTCCTTTTTTAAATCCCCCATACAGTTTCCTCATTTTACCATTTCAAATCCATTTGCATTTTAAAAGTACAGTACCTGTAGAGGAACCTCGGTACTCAAACCACTATCAACTCGTACAATTCAACATGAGTGCTGTGTTCGTGCTCGATAGTGGACCGTTTGCTCGACACTCGAATGTCAGCACCCATAATGAATGAGTCAGTTCTGCAGTAGCTGTCTTTCAGTGCTCACCACCATTAAACTTCTATAAACATTCTCATATTTTTTTAGACATTTTTTTATACTCTTAGCATAAGTAAGTCACCATAGGGCCTAATAAAGTTAGCGGTAAGAACCAAATGAAAAGAAAATTAGTTAGAACCATGATAGATGTGAAAAAAATCAGAGTTGAATGTAATGAAATGCCATTTTCTGGGTGAGCCCCGGAGGCTCCCTGGAGCTATCAGACTGATATGTGTTATATTAGTCTGGGGGCATCAGTCAATTGGAGTTCAGCCTACTTGGGATCATGAGCTAGAACCTGACCTCCTCAGAGAGGCACAGGAAGCAATAGCCTATGGAAACCTTCATGTATTTGGGGGCATTTCGTGTCTGCCATCGACCGGGGTTAGGCACCCAGAAAGGTAAGCATAACAAAATAAACCCCACTTGGTAAGAAAATTTCAACGGAAGACCGAACAGAGAGGTAGAAATCACGCAACATCCAAAGAAACAAGCAAACGTTATACACCATCACCACTTCGTTGCTTGTCCGCACAGCCCTCCCCACCTGCGTCAAAAAGACCAGACGCGAAAAGCGAAAGAGTAGATTGAACCAGCCATGTAACGGACTGGTCCAATCTGCTGAAAGAGGCAGAGCCAAGGAAAACACCCTGGGTTCGGACACCGAGCAAGCAGTGCCTGAAACCAAGGCGGTTACCAAGGGGCCACTAGAACTACTCTCCCCTGTTAAGTCTCCAACCAAGCCAGGATCCAAAGCAACAACTGGACTGGGGGTAGAGGTATAGGTAACTGCCACCTCGACCAGTCCTGCTGAAAGGCGTCCGCCGCGACGGCACTGCAGTCGGGGAAGGGAGCCACATATATTGAGAGATGCCGAGAACACGCCAACGCGAAGAGCTTCACCTCCGGGAGCCTGTACGTCCAGCAGAGCCAACTGAAAGAGTCGGCGTCAACAGTCCATTCTATGGACAGGGGGGAATGAACCGAGACAGGCTGTCTGCTAGGATGTTGAACACTCCCTGGATATGAACCAAATAGAGCCAAACCCCGAGAATCAAGCAGACAAGTCACTCGAAGTAACCAGCCCTAAATAGCCAAGGAATGAAGAGAACCCCCTGCGATTCAGACAATAAACCACCGGTAGAGCAGTTCATATAGAGCTGGATCATGGAACCCCATGCAACTCGAACCCTCCAAAGCAACAGCCAAACTACCGCAAACTCCTGCACCGTGCTATGAGCCCGACGGAAGGACAAATCCCACTGCCCCTAGCCGCCCTGATGAGCACTGGTCATAAAACCCCAGCCAAGAGACGAGGCATCCATGAATACATCGAGCGAGGGCTCGGGTAGGCGCCACGGCACTGAACCCTGAAATATCCGAAGAGGAAGCTGGCAATGCAGCAACTGACGTAAGGCCCACGAAGGTCGAACCCAGCAACGTACGTAAGGGACGTCCCCGTAGGAACCAGAATAGATGCCGAAGCCAGACCCGATCCGGCAGGTAAACCAGCATGGCATAGTTCAGACTCCCGCACAACTGGTCGAGCAAACTCTGAGTGACCCGGGAGAACCCCTCCCCCAGAAACAGCTGAAGACAAGACCGAAGTCGCAGCAATGCCTCTGGAGGAAGACAGGGAAGTGGTCCGAGAGTCCAACACAAGGCCAAGCCAGGTCCAAACCTGGGAAAGAACCAGAATGGACTTCCTCCAAATTCAGTAGGAACCAGCACCCGGCGAGCTGAGAAAGAACCACACCCTTGGTAAGCAGACAAGAAGACCAGCTGAGAGCTCACACCAACCAGTCGTCGAGGTAGGCCAGAACTCGAACCCTTAGCAGATGCAGCTGGGTCACCACGACCCGGGTAAGACATGTGAATACACGAGGTGCCAAATTCAAGCCAAAAAGAAGGCAACAAAAGAGGCAAGCCTGCCACCCCACAAGAAAACCTAGCCAGTCCCTAAACCCCGGATGAATGGGAACATGTCAATACGCATCCCAGAGCTCCAAAGACCTCATCCAAGCACCCGATGGACCTGAGCCAGACCTAAGACAGGGTGGTCATCCGAAAGGAGGGGAAAGGAATCCAGGGGTTCAGATGGGACAAGTCCAGAATGAACCAAAGATCCACACAGTCCTGTTTTGACACTGGAAACAGGCGGGAAACCCATCCGAGGTTGTTTTGACCATGCTCTAGAGCACCCACTCCAAAATGAACCAATGGAGCTCAGGGAAAGAAGCCTGCCCTACCTGCCCCTTACCTCCCGAAGGCGGAGCCCCCCAACCCCACCACAGGCCACAGGAGACAACCTGAAACGCCCACAAATCACAGGACCAGGCGTGAGCAAGCAGCGCGAGCCTCCCACCCCATTGCCCTGTTAATTGGGCGACCTACGAAAGGGCCAACACCCCTTACGAGAAGCCGCCAATGAGCAAAGTGAGCATCGTACCGACCAGACAACGTCGGCTCCAAAGGAAGCGCTGCTCAAAAACTGGCCCCTATGGCCTAACCTGAGTTGTAGGGGCTACCCCCAGAAAAGTAGACATAAAAAAATTTAAAGAAAATGTAACTGCTTTTATACTAAAAATTACAAATTTTCACACACTAGCAATACACGTACTTCTACACTCACCTGAGTAACTTCGTCAATGCAGAGAGCCAAGTCTGTTGATCGTATCTGGAGTGAAGCAGCTTCTTCACAAACTTTCTCCACATTATGAGCTTCATCAAATATGACAATATTACCCTGAAAATAATTATCTTATTAACAGTTTTTAATTTTTGACAAATCCTCTTAATATTACATATGCTGAAAAAGCTAACTCAAGTTTTCAGGCCATTAATAAATTGTCTGAAGCACAGAATGTATGAATGAGTGTAGAGTTAAGTAAGGCTGCAATAATTATACAGTGGTACCTCGGAATGCGATTGTCCCTGTATGCGAGATTTTCGGAAGGAGAGGTGTATTTACTCCAAAAATTTGTCTCGGAAGGCGATGGTTACTTCGGGAGTCGAGTTTGAACGCGAGTTTGTTGATACGCGTACAGCCGACCTAGCGCGTGGTCGTTCGGCGATCGTCGCCCCTCTGCCCCGCTGCCCCTCAGTTCACCATTGTCTCGCGCGCAGTGACTACCCCCACATCAATTCTTGTCGTGAATTTTCAGTGTTTTGTTGGATTTTTGGTGATTTGTCTATACAATTTGTTATTATATATCTCACCATGAGTCCCAAGAAAGCCAGTGGTAAGGATAAAGGCCAGAAAGCTCATGTGAGGATGACAATAGAGGAGAAACAAGAGATCATTCGAAAGCATGAGAACGGTACACGTGTTGTTGATCTTTGTAGGCAGTACAACAAAGCGACATCAACAATATGCACTATACTTAAGAAGAAAAATAAGATTGTGAGTGCTAATGTGGCAAAAGGAGTAAGAACATTAACGACACAAAGACCACAAATACTTGAAGAAGTGGAAAAGTTGTTATTAATTTGGATACACGACAAGGAGTTGAGGGGTGATAGTGTTTCGGAGGCCATTATTTCTGAGAAAGCCAGGGTGTTGCACGAAGACCTTCTAAAGAAGACCCCTGCAACGAGTGATGCAGATAAGAAAGAGTTTAAGGCAAGCAGGGGCTGGTTTGAAAAATTTAGAAAGAGAAGTGGTATCCATAGTGTTACAAGGCATGGGGAGGCAGCCAGCTCAGACAAACCAGCCGCTGGACGATTTATTGACGAATTTAAAGAGTTTGCACAGGCTGAGGGATACCTACCGCAACAAGTGTTTAATTGTGACGAAACAGTACTGTTTTGGAAAAGAATGCCTAAGAGGACATACATTACCAAGGAGGAAAAATCCTTGCCTGGACACAAGCCTATGAAAGATAGGTTTACGCTTGTGCTGTGTTCAAATGCGAGTGGCGATTTAAAAATTAAACCCTTGCTAGTGTATCATTCTGAAAATCCAAGGGTTTTCAAACAGTATAATGTGCAGAAAACCCGTTTGTCTGTGATGTGGAAGTCTAATAAAAAAGCATGGGTGACTAGGCTTATTTTTTCGGAGTGGGTGAATGAAGTGCTGTGCCCTGCCATAGAAAAATATCTGCAGGAGAAACAATTGCCACTCAGAGCCGTGCTTCTCCTTGACAATGCTCCTGCTCATCCTCCAGGCTTGGAAGATGATTTGATGCCTCAATACAATAAATTCCTCACAGTTAAATTCCTTCCTCCTAACACCACTCCTCTAATTCAGCCTATGGACCAGAAAATCATAGCGAATTTTAAGAAACTGTATGAAAGGGCACTTTTCCGGAAATGTTTTGAAGTGACTGAAGCCACAAACCTCACCCTCAAAGAGTTCTGGAGAGAGCATTTTAACATTTTTAGTGCTTTAAAACTCGTTGACAAAGCCTGGCAAGAAGTGACTCAAAGAACCCTGATCTCTGGCTGGAGAAAATTGTGGCCTGAAGGTGTGAGAGAACTAGACTTTGAGGGGTTTGAGCCTATAAATGATGCGCCTATTGTTGAGGAAATTGTTAGTCTAGGCCAGAAAATGGGCTTGGAATTGGATGGTGATGATGTGGAGGAGTTGGTGGAAGAACACAACGAAGAACTGACCACCGAAGAACTCCTAGCCCTTCAACAGGAACAGCAAGCCAACACAGCAGCGAATGATTCTGCAGTGGAGGAGGAGGTGGTGGCAACAGCACCAGCGAATGTCCCTTCTGCAGTAATTAAGAAGGTGTGTCAGATGTGGGAAGAGATTCAAACAACTATTGAACATACTCACCCAGACAAAGCTGTAGTAGGCCGTTGTCTAAATCTTTTCAATGACAATGTGATGCCTTACTACAGAGAGAGCTTGCGAAGAAGGGAAAAGCAAGCTTCCATGGACAAATATTTGGTGAAGAAATCGAGCAGTGAGCCTCAACCAGGACCTAGTGGCACTCAGGTTAAACGTCCCAGGGAGAGCACACCAGAAAGGTCCTCACTGCCTGATGTGATTATGGAAGGGGACTCCCCTTCCAAACAGTAACTCCTCTCCTCCTCCCCCCTCCTCACCATCTTCCATACGCCTACAGCACTCGACAGTAAGGTAAGTAATAACTGGAACATAGTTTTGTAGGTTTATTTAGATGAATTAGGTAAATTAGGTATAAAAATTTAGTTTGATGTGGGGTTTTTGGGGTAGTCAGGAACGGATTAATTCATTTCCCTTTATTTCTTATGGGGAAATTAACTTCGGAATGCGAGTTTTCGGAAGGCGAGGCGTCTCCAGGAACGGATTAAACTCGCATTCTGAGGTATGCCTGTATAAATAATACTATGGTGCTAGAAAAAAACAGCGTTGAATGTAATGAAATGCCATTTCATTACATTCAGCTCCCCCCTTCCCCCTCCCGGGGAGGGGGGAGCTGCGCAGACATGCGGCGCGGCTCGTGTGACGTCATGTTTGTTAGTTCGTTTTCCTGGGGGAGTTCTGTCCACTCGTTTGTCGATTTTTGTTGTTAACCAGAATAGGAGTTTGTTTTGTGGCGCTTACCTTTCTGGGTGCCTGTCCCGGTCGACGGCGGATATAGAATGCTCCAAATCACATGTGCATTTCTATGGGCCATTGCTCCCCGTGCCTCTCTGAGGGGGCCAGGTTCTGGCTCGTGGTCCCCGGTAGGCCTAGAACTCCACCCACATCGACTGATGCAAAATAGTTAGGGTATCCATATCAGCCATGGATAGCTCCGGGGAAGCCGTAGGGGCTCCCCCCAGAAAAGAATTGCCTGTTACCTGGATAGAGCAACCATTGAAGATTTCCCCACTAACTACCCCCCCCCCCTCCATCAGAGCCTGAAGACCCTGGACACAAGGTTCCCATGGGTTCAAAATAACAGGGAAGACCAAGAAGCCAAGCAAACAGAAGCCATATGAACCGGCCCACCAAACGGTAGATGAAGAAGCATCAGAAAGGAACCGAGTGAACTTGACACAATACCATCTAACATTCTCCAGTTAGAACAGGGGATTTAGCTCCTACCACTCAGATCCAGAATGGGCTGCTATAGCAAAAACCAGGAGGTTCAGTTCTGTAGCGCAGACACCACCTGGTATAATACCAACTGGAAGGATGACTCAACAAAACAGAAGTGAAATAGTAACGATGCTGCACACCAGAGGATGAAAGAATTCCCAACCTCAAGAGGTGCAGTAACGTGAGTACCCATCGAAGGCCCAGGGGCCCAGATGTCTGGTGGCCCAAAGGCCTTGGGGCCACATGGCAATAATTATGCCTGGTAGTTTACTAAGAATGGTACCTAAAGATGATACCAATGCCTAACTGTCCACAGACCAGCAAAGGGTCAGTGTTTCAACAATGTAGACACTAACCACGACCTTACAGTCACCCACTGAAGGAAGGTGTAGGTCGCCTGGGACATGCTGTTACTTATGCTACCTGAAACACACACTTGTCAAAGCATCAGGAAGATGGATCCAAGAACATAATAACAAATTGCTATAAACTAGTACTACCAATCAACAGGCCTTACAAAGGGATCAAAGCCCAGGCACTACCAGGAAGCAAGATACCTCAAGAGGCAGCAACCCAAACCCAACGGGATAGACAACCTTCACAAAATAAGGCTGACTGGCTACCACAACCCAGACGAAATGTCAACTCAGGGCACATGTAATGTGGGTGGCAGAATACACATTTTAAGCTAAATATGGAACGAACGCCAGCAATGGGCCCACACCAACCTATTGTCCCGGGGATGGCTAACTCCATTTATTTTAAAGTTGAAAGAACTCAGAGGACCCTCAGGAGCTGAATGTCCATATAAATGCACCAGGCTTGTGAATGAGCTGACTGGCTGGCCAAAATCTGGGGTTGATTGGGCTGCCATCTGGTGACAAGCAAGTGTATACCTGATACCTGGTTGATGGGGTTCTGGGAGTTCGTCTACTCCCCAAGCCCGGCCCGAGGCCAGGCTCGACTTGTGAGAGTTTGGTCCACCAGGCTGTTGCTTGGAGCGGCCCGCAGGCCCACATACCCACCACAGCCCGGTTGGTCCGGCACTCCTTGGAGGAATAAATCTAGTTTCCTCTTGAAAATGTCCATGGTTGTTCCGGCAATATTTCTTATGCTTGCTGGGAGGACGTTGAACAACCGCGGACCTCTGATGTTTATACAGTGTTCTCTGATTGTGCCTATGGCACCTCTGCTCTTCATTGGTTCTATTCTACATTTTCTTCCATGTCGTTCACTCCAGTATCTAGATGGTGATTTCACCATGGTAACAACTATTTGCATTGTTTGATCAAGGTTACAAATTTGTGCAACCGTGATGATCTCTGATCTCCAGTCTCCCTTTCATCTCTATGAGTGGGCCAGATTCTGATTCTGGCCCCTGGTGGATACTCGTGATTCATAAGGTATGTTGTGTCCTCGAGGCTTGGATGCTTCCAGGCTACTGATGGGGCCCTCCCCAGATAAAAACCCTTGGAAATACTGTACAGTACAGAAGATGGAAAATATTTTAATATTTAAACCTGTACTGGGTGCAAGTTAAAAAAATCCAAATGTTTTTCAAATTTTTCTAATTGTTAGTTACATCTGAATAATTTACACATTGTAAGGAATAAACTGATTATAAATTCAGACCTGCAGTTCAACACCATGTGCCTTACGACTCTTGGGGTCAAGTAGGTAATTATAGGGCATGAAAATGATGTCTGCATCCTGCTTCATTTCTCGTGCCATGTAATATGGACAGAAAGATTTCTTCTTGCCAAACTTAACCAAGTCTTCAAGGTCCAGCACTCCTTGACGGAGCTCTGGTTCACCTTTTTTTGCATCTACCTAAAAGGAGCAAAGTTTTAAAATATTAATTGAATGTCAAATCAAATAAAAAAACTTTATTCCTAAATGTTTATACACTTATAATTGGCAAGTTTAAATAAAAATTACAGTTCAGTAATCATATAAGAGTGTCACAATTTAATAGCATAACACACAGAGGCTGTTATCAGAATCACAATCCCAAACTTCATTCATAAAAATGTACACATTACAATAATGACTGGAGTAAACAGGTGTTTAACAATAAAAATCAAGCACATTTACAGTATAAAACCAGCGTTGAATGTAATGAAACGTCATTTTCTGGGTAAACCCCGGAGGCTCCCTGGAGCATTCGGGCTAATATGTGATATATTAGATTGAGGCAATAGTCTATGGAGTTCAACCTACCGGGGACCATGAGCCAGAACCTGGCCCCCCTCACAGAAGTTTCAGGGAGCAATAACCAAGGAACCCCCCCCTTCCTGTGGTTGGGGGTTTTTGCCATTGACCGGGATTAGGCACCCAGAAAGGTAGGCGTAATAAAACAAGCCACACATGGTAAGAGAAGTGCAAAGAAAAAAATGAAAAGATAGGCAGAACTCCCTCCAATCCCAAGGAAACATGCAAATATACACTCCACTGCCACGCCACTCGTCCGCACAGCCCTCCACTTCCCGCGCCGGCTACCCAGCACTCTAGTTCGAAAGCTAAATATCAAACAACGGAAAAAAATGGCGTTTCGTTACATTCAACGCTGGCTTTCTGTGGGGAGCCCCTTCGGCTCCTTGGAGCTACATAACTGAAGATAAGGAAAAGAGGGACTTACCTGGGAGGCAGCCACCACACTCTCCCCAATACGAAGACAACCTGTGACCCAAAGCAACACAGGAACGCCCAGGAGCAGGAATGTTAAGCAGATAACGTGTGGCCAGGACTCTGTTCGACCTTCAAAATCCCCACGCCCGAATATCAGCCCCGGACACGTTGTCAAACACGGCAGCCAATACCAAACTTCCTAACAACATGGGCAAGATGATAGACTGCAGGCTAGCTAGACTTAATAACCTTGCGGATGACCTGGGAGATCCGAGCCTTGGAATAGGGAATGAGGGAAACCAGATCAACCTAAAGTGCATCCCCTGCCACCGAAGCCAAAGCGCACAGATAACAGCAAAGAGCCGCAAATGGACATAACACATGATGCAGCCTCAGACTGACCAACTAAGCATCAATGACCACAGGACCCCTCTGGAAAGCAGCCATCTTGTTTTTCCCCAGAAAAGGAGAAGGTTGCAACCGAACAAACCAACCACCAGGACCAAAAGAGCAAAAGCCCCTGTGCCTGAGGAGAACATGGAGCTCACTGACCCAATCCCAAGAGGCCAATGCCAACAGAAACAATCTTGAACCAACGGACGACCACAAACCGAGGAGAGGAAAGATAGAAGAGCACCCTGTCCAAGGCTCAGGGTGGCTCAGGCAGCGCATGAGCAAGCCGGAGGTGAAACAAGGCACGAGAAAGCTTATGGAACGTGGCAGAAGTGACATCCACCCTGAATGAAAGCTGGAGCGACTCCGCCTGAGCCGCACGATACGAGGCGACAGTAGTATTAGACATCAAATGATGATCCTGAAAAAGCCAAGCCAGAAAGGACAAGACAATCAGATCAGATAGAGAAGACAACCTACGAAGAGAGAGAAAAATGGCAGAAAGAACGCCAGGAAACTTCCTACTGTTGCCAAGACGAAGCTCTCATGTGGAACACCATCAATGAAGCCACCTGATCATCATACAAATGGTGATAAACCCACGTCAAAAAGACCAGACACGAAGAGAGGAGAAGAACGAACCAGCTGTGTACTGGACCGGTCCGTCCCGCTGAAAGGGGCGGAGCCGTGGAAAACTTCTCAGATTCGCACACAGAGTAATCAGCGCCCAAGCGCACCCACACCCCCGTCGTAGATCAGCTGTGGGAGCGTCCTCCACGGCCTTGCAGTCTGGACTTCCAACCAAACTATAAGTATTATAGTACAGGTTGATGATAGTGAGTGTTGTCCCAAGTAACATAACAGTGAAGTGCTTTGGAAAAATAGGTGAGATAACACAAATGTGCAAAGTGAGTTGAAAAATTGTTTGAGAAAAAAAGTTGCCCTAGTGTTTACAGTGCAGACAACAACATTAAAGATGGCCACCAGCAAGAAGGAAAACAAAACAGAACTAGATTTTTGGGATTTTAATGAAGAAAGCATTGATATAAGCAGTCTACACAACAAATTGGCAAAATTAGAAAGTATAGTGAACTATCATGTAGATATAATCAACAAATAGAAAGTAATGGGCACTTCAGTAGCAAAGTATCAGGTCTTGAGGGGTTAGTGAATGACTTATGCAAGGACAAGAATCAATTGGAAATAAACTGCAAAGCCACAGAAGAGGAAAATAAACTTTTAAAAATACCTTTGGAAGAAGTTAAAGCAAATTTAAACATAAATGACAATAATGGGTTAGGTAAGGAAATCCAACAGGAAAAACAGCTTTTGTTAGTACAGATGGAGAAAGTTACACAGGGAATAGAACAGTGCAGGAAGGATATGCAACTCACTTATGCACAAGTGGCCAAGGAGAAGGAAAAATAGAAGAAGCAGTAAAGGAAGCCAAACACTGCAGCAACCAGGATAAAACAAACATTAGGCTGGAAGTGAGAAAAGAACTGGCATCTAACCCGAAGTTCATGCAAAACACAGTTGATTGAAGTCCCTGATAATTTTTGCTTGCAAAGAAAAGGAGATAACATCTAGGTCAGAAAGAGCTGTAGAAGAAAAGAAAGTAGTAGATAAAATTGTTGTCCTCGTGAAAGGTCTTACTACCACAAAGAATGTCTGTGACTGTAGGAGGATTGGAAAGTACATAAAAGGGAAACATCAACCTTTGAGGATCACCCTAAATAATGCCAAACAGATGGAAGAAGTACCAAGGTATGCTAGAAAATTACAAAGTGATGAGGAAGGGAAAGTATGGTCGTTAAGACGAAATCTTTCAAAAGAAGACAGAGAAGCTAAAACTGAACCTCGTTGAGGCAAAACGTCTAAATGAAAGCAGGAATGAAGAAATCAATTCTTTTTACTACAAAGTGATATGGGTAGGCAGACCAGTAAAATGATACAAAAAGGCAAATCAACAAAATCACTAGAGAAAGGGGTAGTGAAGAATAAGGAGAGGGGGAACATGTTCCTTAAAATTGCATACACCAACATAGATGGAGTGAGATCAAAGATACTGGAGTTAAGTGATGTAATACAGCTGCAGACACCAGACATTATTGCACTCACGGAGACATAACTTGAAGAAGATATTTTAAATGAGGTCATACTCCCAAGAGGCTACTCAGTCTGGAGACAGGACAGAAAAATTAGGAAAGCCGGTGGCATTGCTGTGCTGGTGAAAGAACACCTAAAGGTAAATGAAATAATGATTGCCAATCCACGAGAAGTTGACATAATAGCACTAAAGATCTGCAATCAGGATGATAAACTAATAATCATAAATGCATATAGTCCACCACCATGCAACACATGAAAAAGAAAAGAAAGAGAAAGGTAAAAGAAACATTTTGCCCATTTGTCTCCGCCTCCACTTGGGATCGAACCCGGAACCTCAGGACTACGAATCCGAAGCGCTGTCCACCCAGCTGTCAGGCACAAAGCCAAAGGCAAAAGCCAAAGGGGCTTTTCCCCTAGAAAAACAGTACTTTTGCTGTTATTGCACTGCATATACACTATTTACATACATAACTACATTTTTATGGACCATAACAAACCACTAAGCTGGTCTAATTGATCCACATACACAGCACAGTGTCAATACCCCTGTCAGCTGACAAGATACCACCTGACTCCCCATAATGCCTACAATTTATCACACCTATCACTAACTCTAGGCATATTATAATCAGCATTCTAATTACTAACTACTAATTATGAATCATTTTTAACTAGTTTATTTTCTAAAGGAACAAGAAGTTGTTTCATGATTCATAGATGCACCAAACTATGGCAGAGAGCAGTGGCTAATCTGCATCAGCAGTAAACATCATAAACAGCAAACAGTTACGGTACTTATATGTTTCATCGTTTTCAAGTAATGCTGTGGACACAAGCTGCACAGCAGTATTGTTAGCTCATGCTACATGGGCCAGCGTTGGGTGCTCGCTCTGTACTGACTTGCTCACACCAAGGAATGGTGTCCACAATTTTTTTTTAAAATGGCATATGTTTACTGGAGGTCTGAGAACGCTGACATGAGCTCTGTTTACCCACAGGAGTTTTAAAAATCTTACAATGTACTCTTAATACTTCACCTGACAGGATGCACAGTCTGAGCATAATTAGCCACCCCATCAGGTGATGGGGTGAACAGCCAAAGAATTAATAACAAAATTAAATACATATTTAACCATCACATAAATTTACCTGATTATTAAAATAGCAGGTCTTAGCCTTAACTTTCAGCTGACACATGTGCACCTTGCTATTGTTGTTCAGTTCTTTAGAAACTTCCGGATGAACACACATCTGGTCACGTGAGCCAAGTACTGCAACCTGACAATTAAAAAATAAATCTATATAAAAGTTACATATACAAATTTAATAAATATAGCCAGATCCGTTAAATATTATCAAAACACTTACACAGTGGATAGACACTAACTTGAGCTTTATGAGTTAAAAACATTTCTTTTGGATGCATTTACCCCTTCAAGGAAGACTGTGTATACATATATAAATTGTATTTCTAATAACTATCGCTGATTAAGTTACTATTTACACTAGCTCAACCATCAGATGGCAGCCCCAGCAGCATGGGCCTGCCAATTAAACAAGTCTCAAGCCACCCAAGAGAAAACCCTTCAACCCAGGGGAGCTACTGAGAGTCAGTTAGAAAGAGGACCATGATTACACTCACATACTATGGGCAACTTAGCAAGTTTTTTAGGAATTCAATTGGAAAGACTTATTGTTAGGCAAGGAAGAAAATGAGATGTATGTCAAGTCTTATGAAATATATGATAAAAGCACAAAAAATTGATGCCACAACAGAGATGCAAAACAAGGAAACAGGATTGGTTCAACAGAAATTGAGAGAGGGCCAGAGACCAAAAGACACAAAACTGGAATCGGTATAGGAAGAGGCCAAACCCTCAAACATACCAGCCAATTTTGAGGAAGGGAGAGTTGACAAATGTAAAACAGGACCATGCCTATTCTATAAATTCATTAAAAACAAATTGCAGATATTGAATAATAGTCAGAGGTTAAAAATAGGATACAGATTTACAGAAAATGAAAATGAAATGTTTGAGACATTAAATGAACAGTTCCAAAGTGCATGTGTTCAAAATTAAATCTTCAGAGAACCAGACACAATAAAAATTTCAGAGAACAAAATAGAACACAAAGGTGTCTGGAGATGAAGGGGAAAAAATTCTCAAAGAGCTAAGTAAGAACAAAGAAGTTGGTTCAGATGGAGCTTCACCTTGGGATCTGAGAGGATGAGCATCTGAGCTGAGCATTCTACTTCAATTGATTTTTCAAGCATTTTTAAGTACAGGAACCTTAGCAGATATATATGGAAAAAGGTTAACATAGTTCCAGTATACAAAAACGGTACCAAAGAAGTCCTTAAATTACAGACCTGTGTCGTTGACATAGTCAAAACATTGGAAAATTAATCAAAACCAAATTGGTGATAAAACCAAATGATAGAACCACAGAGATTTTACAGAAAAAGAGATGGTTCGGTTGACTACATTTAACTGGAGCTATACAAAAAAAAACAGTGTAGAATGTAATGAAATGCCATTTTCTGGGCGAGTCCCAGAGACTCCCCGGAGCTATCCATAGCTGATATGAATACCCTAACTATTTTGCATCCGTCGATGTGGGTGGAGTTCTAGGCCTACCGGGAACCACGAGTCAGAACCTGGCCCCCCTCACAGAGGCACAAGGAGCAATGGCCCATAGAAATGCACATGTGATTGGGAGCATTCTGTATCTACCATCGACCGGGACAGGCACCCAGAAAGGTAAGCGCCACAAAACAAACCCCTATTCTGGTTAACAACGAAAATCATCAAACGAGTGGACAGAACTCCCCAAAAGAAAAACGAGCATGACGACACACGAGCCCCGCCGCATGTCTGCACAGCTTCCCCCTCCCCGGGAGGGGGAAAGGGGGAGCCCCAGACCCTCATGCCATAGATCCCCACCCCAGTTCTGAGGCTGGATATCAAAAAACGTGAAAAACCGCCGACCGGAGGGAGGGTGGGTTGCCAGGGAGCCTCCGGGACTCGCCCAGAAAATGGCGTTTCATTACATTCAATGCTGGTTTTCTGGAGGGAGCCACTACGGCTCCCCGGAGCAACTTCACCAAAGACAACAAAAGAAAAGGGGACTTACCCAAGACGCGGTCGCGACTCCACTCCTCAACTCGAAGTCGAGACAACACGCTGCAACTGCCGACACAAAGCAACCCCCTCCAAAAACCTCGTGCCCAAATGTCAGCCAAAGACATATTGCCAAAGATGGCAGTAAGAGCAGCAAACTTACGAACATCATGGGCATGGGGATAGACCACAGGCTGGCTGGATTTAATTACCCTGCGGACAACCTGAGAGACCTGAACCCGCGAACAGGAAAGAAGGGAAACGGGATAAACCCAAAGCGCGTCCCGGGACACAGAAGCCATGGCGCGCAGATAACAGCGGAGGGCCGCAACCGGACAACACATGAGGAACCCCCAGCTTGACAAACCAAGCATCAACAACCCAAGGATCCCTCCGGAAGGCAGCAGTCTCATTCTTCGCCAGAAAAGAGGGAGACGGCTGTAGACGGACATACCTATGACCACGGCCAAAAGAGCAAAAACCTTTGCGCCTTAGAAGAGCGTGAAGCTCCGCCACACGACCCCCAGAGGCTAATGCCAACAGAGAGAGAGTCTTAGCTAAACAATCCTGAACCAAAGGGGCCACAACAAACCAAGGAGAATTAAGATAGGAAAGCACTCTGTCCAAAGACCAGGACGACTCAGGCGGAGCATGAGCAGGCCAGAGGTGAAACAATGCACGAGACAGCTTGCAAAACGGTGCAGAAGTAACATCGATACCGAAAGCAAGCTGCAGCTGCTCTGCCAGCGTCGCACAATACGAGGTGACAGTATTAGGCATAAGATGACGGTCCTGGAATAACCAAGAGAGAAAGGACAACACCTCCCAAACCAAAAGCGAAAAGCAACGACGAAGGGACAAAAAGAACCGAAAGGACCGCCAGGAAACTTCATACTGCCGCTGAGAGGAAGCCCGCAGATGGTAAGCCAGCAAGGAAGCCACCTGATCACCATAGAGATGGTGATAAACACGAGTCAAAAACACCAAACGCGAAGACTCGCGGAGAAGAGCGAACCAGTCTCGTACCAGACCGGGCCGATCTCCTGAAAGAGGCAGAGCCATGGAAAAACCTCCGGGTTCGGACACCGGGCAAGCAGCACCTGCCCGGTGTCCCCACAGAAAAAAGTCTTTCGACAGAGTTCCACAAAAGAGCTTGTTCTGGAAATTGGAACATACTGGATGAGTGACAAGGAGGCTTCTAACATAGTTCAGTTCTTGATTTGGTAATGTTCATCGTCTAAATAAATGACTTACCAGAAGGAATACAGAATTACTTGAGTATGCTTGCTGATGATACTAAGATACTAGCAAAGATAGGAAACTTAGACAATTGTCATGCCCTTCAAGAAGACCTGGACAAAATAAGTGTATGGAGCACCACTTAGCAATTGTTATTTAATGTGAATAAATGCCATGTTATGGAATGTGGGATAGGAGAAAATACACCACACACAACCTACAAATTATGTGAAAAAGCTTTCAAAAACTTTGGTAAAGAAAGAGATCTAGGAGTGTTTCTAGATAGAAAACTATCATCTTAAGACCACATAAAGAACATTGTGCAGGGAGACTATGCTACGCCTTCCAATTTCAGAATCGCTTTTAAATACATGGATGGTGAAATACTAAAGAAATTGTTCACAATTTTTGTTAGACCAAAGTAGGAATGTGCAGCAGTTGTATGGTGCCTATATCTTAAAAAGCACACCAGCAAACTGGAAAAGGTGCAAAGACATGCAACTAAATTGTCCCCGGGGACTGAAAGACAAGTGCTATAAGGAGAAGTTAGAGAGATTAAATATGCCAAACTAGAAGATAGGAGAAAAAAGAGGCAATATGATCACTACATATAAAATAGTAACAGGAATTGACAAAATTGATAGGGAAGAATTCCTGAGACCCGGAATTTCAAGAACAAGAGGGTCATAGATTTAAACTAACTAAACAATGCATGTCCCCAACAGGTAAAACAAAGGCATGAAAACCTGGCCTACTCAATATTTCCCTAGTGAGTCAGTCATAAGTCTAGAGTAGCAATTGAGATGGCCAGTCAAGAAATAGGCATAATTTTATATACTGTAGCTTGTGTTTAAATTAACCTAACAATTGTTTGAGTGGTGACAACAAAAACCACTCACAACCAGTTCAGTTAATCAGTTTTGCTAAAGTAAAATTTGATTGCATAAATTTTGTAACATCTCTTTGCATCAGATTATATAATAAAACACCACTTCACAGTACCCTCATATAGCTGTATGACGTTCGTTTCAATTCATTTATGGCTTGACTCAGCTGTGCATGTGTCCGTGACGAATAAATTATTTTCGGCGGTACTGAAAAAAACAAAAATAAGAATATAGTCTATGTGATGCCACCACAACTTCACAAGTTTTCTTATACAGCCATCGGAATCCCTGTAATGTAATGAGTTTGAATTTTATTAATTTTCAACCACTAATGGTGAAGAAATCTCTTCAACATCTCTGGCTCATTTGGGCATTAGGTATTATATAATGCCCCCATAACCTCGTCCTACCCCTTTTCAAATAGCCTATCTCCATCCACCTTGTTGAAGGGGTCCCAGTAGTACAGTCGGGTTTGTTCTCGACTCACAATTAAGAATTCCGGGTTCGAATCCCAAGCGGGACAGAAATGATTGGATGAATTTCCTATAACCTAATGTGCCTGTTCAACTAGCAGTAAGTAGGTACACAGGTGTTAGTAAGCTTGTTGTGGGGTTGTATCCTGGGCAGGATCAGTAATTCAACCTGGAGAGGGAGGGGATGATCTCAATATAAGCCTAACCTATATGAATACATTCTGGCTGCCTGTCCCCTGATACAATGAATTATAACTATTATGTATCTCTAAACATCTTATATACTGTGACCAGGCATTCCTTTGTCTTTTCTTCTGGGCTTGATAATGTGTGCTTCTAGCAGGCATTACATATTTCAGTACTGGTCTCTCACGTGTCATGTTATCTTCTTTATACGAGCCTCTGGCATTTGATTCACTGTAAAGAACATGTAAAATTATGTGTTTGTTGTTAAAGGAAGAGAGATATGCTCATGGTGCCCTATTGTTGTCATTTTGTTTTTTCTTTGTTAAACTTTTTAAAGTTTACAGTATTTCTGCAAAAATTGCCTGCCCTTGAAGACCATTCCATAATTTGAATGCACATCTGTTCATGCATAAATGAAAGGCAAACAAATTAATAAGTATATCACTGAATGTAATAAAATGCCCCTTTCTGTCTAGTTCCTCAGTAATTTTCCCAAACTGAGGCACTAGTACCATAAGGTCTCCCAACTTGTACAGGGCAATGAGCCTTAAATAAACCTATTGGAAGAAAGGACCAGAATCTGGCTCGTGACAAAGGCAAGAGGAGCATGGCAATCAAAAATCAACCCCATGAAACTGACACAAAAATTCATAGGTAAAATAAAGGGGCAAGGGAACTATCAGAGAAAGTGCCAAACCATTACAATTATATAGCACTTGGAAAGGGTCAGGATAAGGATTTGGGATGGGACAGAGGGAAAGGAATGTGCCCAACCACTTGGATGGTCGGAATTAAATGCCGACCTGCATGAAGCGAGACCGTAGTTCTCCCATTCAGCCCAAGTAGTTGGGCATAGGTGAAATAAAACAAACCTCTGCTCTTAAAAAAAATTTAAAGTAAGAAAAAACCAGCATTGATTGTAATGAAACACAGTTTTCTGGGTGACCCCGAGAAGCTCCCTGGAGCTATAGGACTGATATTAGCTGTATTAGTCCTCCCAGACCAACAACCAGAGCATAACTTCATAGTCTCCTGAGACTGATGGATGCCTACTACTACTAGTCTGGGACTTCAATCATCTGGAGTTGTCATGCCTACCAGGAACCACGAGTCAGAACCTGGTTCCTTCAGAGAGGCGAAGGGAGCAATGGCCTATGAAAACTCCAATCTTTGAGAATATATTCATGTCTGCCATCGATCGGGGTTAGGCACCCAGAAAGGTAAGTGTCCCAAAACAGACCACAACTGGAAGAAAATTGCAACTGGAGATCGAAACCGAAGCTAAAAACTCCCCCCAAGAAAAACAAGGAAACAAGAAAATTGTTATCAATCTGATGCACTGCTCTTTCGTGCTGGCCGTCTGCCCACAAGTTTGGAGATTGAGCAAAGGGAAGAAGAAACCGCCAACACCCCCGATGAGCTGACAGTCCTCCCAACACTACTAAGACCGGATGAAATGACATAAAAAGCCCACAAATCGTGAGACCAAGTAAGGACAAAAAGATCCCGCCTCCCCACCATCGACCCTGTGAACTTGGTTGCTTCGACCTTGGTCTAAGCGACGAACGCCCAAAAATCCTGGTCTCTAAAACCCAAGTGGGGGAGCTCCGGGGCTTCCAACCAGGCAACCAACCTGGCGCGGTGCAAGAAGGAGAATCGAGCATGCAACGCAGACGCTGCCCGATTCCTAAGATCTACAGACAAGGAACGAGTAACTGAAGTACAAGCGGAAAACAAGTCCCTGACAAGAGGGAGGGAGGGTGCCTGGGAGCCTCCGGGGTTCACCAGAAAATGGCGTTTCATTACATTCAACGCTGGTTTTCTGAGGGAAGCCTCGTCGGCTCCAGGGAGCCGACAGGGCTCCCTTCAGAAAACTTTACTTATCTTTACTACCTAAAGATAAGTAAAAATGGGACTTACCCGAGAAGCGGCAGCACAGCACGTTTCATGATGATGACGGGACAACTGCTTGATACCTGCTTGATAGGGTTCTAGGAGTTCTTCTTCTCCCCAAACCCGGCCTGAGGCCAGGCTCGACTTGTGAGAGTCCACCAGGCTGTTGCTTGGAGCGGCCCGCAGGGCCACATACCCACCACAGCCCGGCTGATCCAGAACTTCTCTTAGAAAACAGTCCAGTTGCTCTCCAGGTCAATGCTCCTTTCGCCTCTCTGAGGGAACCAGGTTCTGGTTCGTGGTTCCTGGTAGGCATGACAACTCCATATGACTGAAATCCATCTATATAAAAAAAGAAAGCCCCAGACTAATATAGCTAATATCAAGCCTATAGCTTCAGGGAGCCAACGGGGTTCCCCCTCAGAATCGACACTGAATGAAATGAAACTTCTCTTTCTAGTGGGAACTCCTTAGCCCTTTCTAGTGGCTATAACAATTCACAAGTGCCTACCCAGTACCAGAATCTGGTCCACTCAGTACACAAAAAGGGAGTCTGGGGTTCTAGGATCACCGTGCAATAACCAAGAGAAAGACCACCAAAACAAACAACTGCATGGATCACATTAGCAAAGATGACCCTAACTTTGTAAACAATTATTAGCCAAGCTGAACCCCCTAGTTCATACCACCCAATCACCAACAGATGTCAGCCCATCTACCCAGGGATCCAGGTTGCCATCCCCACCATATATGCACCATCACAACCTACAGCTCTTGAACTTGTGGAAAATTGCCAGAATGAGATTGGAGAGCTCTCGAGAAACCCACCAGTAAGAGGAATTTCTTAACATCCCAAGCTAATTTTCTGGGTAACTTCCCAAGCTATCTTACCCTGCAGAAGGAAGAAAATTAGATAGGCTTACTGTAAGGAGAGATGTGAATCCTACACAAAGGCACTCAGCACCAGAACAGTGATTAAGTGCTAATTGACTAAGTGACTATAGGAGCCATGAGCATCCCATTTGAGTGCCAAAAAACCACTAGCACAAATGTTTGTTACAACATACAGTACTGTATTGCCAAAAAATACATAGCTGCAAACCTGTTGACATCATGAGCCTGAAGTAACATGTCTAGCTGGTTCAATTTAACCTCACACAAGACCGCCTGAGAAAACAGCCAGGACTGCTTGGAACAAGGAACCACGGATGCAGGACAAACAATGCATCCCCTAAAAAGATGAAGCCTCATTCTTTGCCCAAAAAAAATCCTGAAATAGCTGAAGCCAATGAGACTTTGGTTTCAGATATTTGATTGAAATTCATCTAGAATGAACCCTTGCTAAAACAACAAGAACCCCACTTCCAAGGAAAAACATGAAGGGCCCCAACCCAACAACCAGACGCTAGACATAGCAAGAAGACAGCCTAATAGAACACATCCTGAAGAGAAGTAGACACCCAAAAATTAAAAGATAAAAAGGGAAAAGGAATGATGAAGGCACTGGAGGGGGAACGAGCCGGCCAGATGTGAAATAAAGCACAAGACAACAAAAATAGGGCAGAAGAGATCAACCTCAAAAGCTAACAAGAGAGGCTCTACCAAGATCAAACAATGAGACTCCAGGGCCTGGTACAAGTTGAGGTGTCATATGATACTAGTGCCTAAGCTCAGAGAAACTACTGATAGAGCCAATCAAGAAAAATATACTGAAAAATACTGTATTACAATAATTATTACTCACCATTTTTATCCCCCCATGCTTGTCCTGTTGCAGACTTTAACTGAGAGCTTAGTGATGATACAAATTCGGAAGCATCTTGACTACCAGAAATTTGTAAACGAGATTTATATTCAGCCTTCTTAATCTCAAGCCAACCTAAGGTGGAGCACAGCAGGCAAAGAGTCTTGCCTGTACCAGTTGGTGACTCGAGGATCCCATTCTCGCCCTAAAGAAGAGTGCAGTATTTGATTTCATTATCAATAACCAATTACTTTGAAAGTATTCTATATAGTTCATGAGCTTCAAATTTTATAAACAATAAAGTACTGTACACTGAGAAAAAGATACCCTATACTATTATACTGCATATCATATACGGTATTACTTATCATTATAAAGATAGGTAAAGAAACCACTGAAATCAAAATGAGGAATAAATTAAGGTGGTTATTATGTATAGGGGCCTTGCTTGTGATGCAAACAACCACCTGTACGATAAAATATTTTGTACTGTTCTGATTATATTAACAGCATCAGATGTAAATAATGAGCTGTATCAGGGTTTCTATTTATGAGAATGATAATTGTCACATTTCAGGAATGATCAATCTCGTAAATTCTCAATGCTAGAACCAGCAAATAAATTTACATAAAATTTTTCAGTGCCACTGCTCCTCGTGACTCTCTGTGAGGGCCAGGTTCTGGCTCATGGTCCCCAGTAGGCTAATAAAAACTCCGTGACTGATGGCCCCTTATAGTCTGGCACCATACAAATATAGTAGCTTCAGGGAGCTACAAGGGGCTCCTCCCAGAAACCACCTCATAGAATAGTAAACAATCAGCATCCATACCATCCACAGTAGAAAGTGCTGCAAGAATCTATAATGCAAAGCAGCAGCATGAGAAAGCAGCTTGACCAAAACCGAGATAGAGCATTGATAACATACACTCATGGGTGAAAGAACCCCTGAACCCAACAGGTTGAATGATACAAGCAACAGGAATGGCCATTGGGGTCTAAAAACACAAGAGGGTTTGTCCTAAAAACTGCAAACCCACATCAGGTGCAGCCTTAGCACCTGCCCAATAATACATACTGTACAAGACCAGAAAAATCCAGTAAGGACCCCCACACAAATGGGCAAGGATGCAGGGCACCTGAGACTTCACTTTTCACTTCAGTGAAAAAGTTTTTCACTTCAGTGAAACACCAGACTTCAATCTAAACTACTTAGTATGGAAGAGTATAGGTCACTACAGATAAAAAAAATAAAAAAATAAAAATTGGTGAACATGATCCAAGATAAAGTGAAAGTACTCAATATGCCCTAGGAGCGGGACCAAGCACAATAGGCAGGTGTTTAACCCTCAAATTGCGAACAAAAAACTGCAGCTGCCAACCCAAAGCCACATAGGCCCGACAAGGCCCAGGAACATCAACGAAGGAACAACAACGAAGGAAGGAAGGGCAAGAGCTACGAGGAGAGGTTAGAGGCATTAAATATGCCAAAACTGGAAGACAAGAAAAAGAGGTGATATGATCACTACATACAAAATAGTAACAGGAATTGATAAAATCGATAAGGAAGATTTCCCGAGACCTGGAACTTTAAGAACAAGAGGTCACAGATTTAAACTAGCTAAACAGATGCCGAAGAAATATAGGAAAATTCACTTTCGCAAACAGAGTGGTAGACGGTTGGAACAAGTTAGGTGAGAAGGTGGTGGAGGCCAAGATGGTCAGTAGTTTCAAAGCGTTATATGACAAAGTGCTGGGAAGACAGGACACCACGAGCGTAGCTCTCATCCAGTAACTACACTTAGGTAATTACATAGCCAACCTATGAACAACTTGCGCCTGGGGATAGACGGCAAGCTGGCAGGACCGAACTTACTAGAAATTTCCAACACTTAATTACAGTACCTTAATAAATTATTTTTGTACTGTGTATTATAATTTACTAACTCTACTAACAGATAGCTTAGTAATATTGAGTTTAATTCATTAAGGCGTAATAACGTCTCATTTCCCAAAAATTCTAGTCGGGTGCTGTATCAGCCACATGACTAAAGGGAAAATATTTACATTCACGAGAATTGTATTAAATTCTCCTTATTTTCACATTCTTTAATAAGAATCATCAGTCAATAATTTTATTGTCACAAATGTATTCAGCGAATTACAACTGAGAGTATATTTATATTCAATTAAGCAATATATTTTATTTGCTGGTACAGTAATAATTCATACAGTTACGAACTGTTACTCCAGCGCATTCACATATGACGGAATTTCTATCCAGCACTCTCTTCTATTGAACATAGTTTCATTTTAATTATTAAAAAACGAGAATTTATATATTGTTGAGTAAGACAAATTAAATTTATTTCTCTAATTTCCTGCAAAAAATTCCGGAGCCAGAGGGACAAGGGTCTGGGGCTCCCCCTTCCCCCTCCCGGGGAGGGGGGGGGGTTGTGCAGATGGCGGCACGGCAACATGACGACGTCATGCTTGTTTGCTAATTTTCGTTTGGAGAGTTCTGTCCACTCGTTCGGCTTTCAGTAGCAATAGTTTCACCAGAATTGGGGTTTGTTTTGGGGTGCCTACCTTTCTGGGTGCCTGGCCTGGTTGATGGCAGACACAGAATGCTCCCAACCACAGGGGGGGTTTCTATAGGCCATTCTTCCTCGTGCCTCTCTGAGAGGGGCCAGGTTCTGGCTCGTGGTCCCCAGTAGGCAAGAACTCCAAGCACATTGACTGATGCCAGAAAGTTATACATATCCATTCAGCCTGGATAGCTCTGGGGAGCCGACGGGGCTCCCCCAGAAAATATTAGAAAGTTTTCTTTTGCAAACAGAGTGGTAGTTGGTTAGAACAAACTAAGTGAGGTGGTGGAGGTCAAAACCATCAATAGTTTTAAAGCATTATATGACACCGTCAATAGTTTCAAAGCCTTATATGACAAAGTACTGGGAAGACGGGACACCATGAGAGTAGCTCTCATCCTGTAACTACACTTAGGTAATTTCTGCAAGCCAGTTTTAGTGCTACACAACAGTGTGCACACAATTTCTGAAAAAGGGCAAAGTCACAAAGCACTTTGAAAAGCAGTAGAGCTCCGCACAGCAGAGGCAACATGGGAACCCTACAGCAGTCGTGTATGTGTGTGACCGGCATAAGAACCGAGGGCTTGGGTCCTTGGATTGTGCGAGTCCCTTTCCTCCCTAAACGAGTTTTGGGAGTTCATTAGGCAGATGCAAGGTTTCAGTCCCATTTGAACCTAGCAGTTGTTTGTTTTGCTTTGATGACTTTCTGGATGCCTTCCCAAGCGAGGTGGTGGAATGGCACCTGCTCTTTGTGCCTCTTAGAAGGGGCCATGCTCTGGCTCCGATCCCTAGACGATCTGAGAACTCCATGGCTGATGTGACCTTGTAGTTGAGAGCCATCTCACAAAGACAGCTTCAGGGAGCCACAAAGGGTTCACCCAAGAAAAACTGTCCACCCCAACCACTAGGGCCTGCAGAGAAGCCAAAGCCCATACACTACCTGGGAAAGGCTCCATCAAAGGAAGCAGTCTTAAGGAGCAGACACAAGAATCTCCTGAGAAAAAAACCTAACTGGGCAGAGGCAATGCCAACAGCAACTAGATAAGCAAGTCTAGCACCAGAGAGTCAAACAAGTCTCAAGGCTTACACAAAAGTTAGGCTAAAAAAACCATGCTCAAAATATATTTGGAACAAGACCCCTGCAGGACAGTTTTTCTTTGACTATGGGCTGAATTTATTCAGTACAGTAGTACCAAGTAGATGCAACCTCAAACTTACACGTTGTAAACATTCAATGACTTTTGACATATATGCCTTCTGAACTTCATAAGGCTCAAAAGGGAACCTCACTGCGACTCCTTGAAACACAACCTCAGGCATGATGACTGAAGAAGCAACTTCACAGCTATATCGTTTGTGATCCTTACAGCATTTTCATTGATACACCCTGTTGAAAGAAAAATGCTGTAAATAAAGCAGCTGGAAACATATTTCTGAAACGGTCACATTTGGATATGTAAAATTCAACAATATTAATCGTAGTAGGGTAAGGTAGCTAGTTCTCAGTCACCTATAAACCACTCTCTCCACCTCCAAAATACCTTGAGCACATACAATGCTGCTAAAATGAAACCAAAAAGATTTACCTCCTAAAGTGCACTACAATAACATGTAAATTGAAAGATACAGTATCTAATAGAAACTGTTAGAATAAAAGATAGACATTTTATCATGTGGTGTATGCTTTTTAGTGTCAAATATCAGAAGTAATATTTATTTTATAATTTTTTGTTTTCCACCAGACTTACAGTTTTTAAACCGCAGAAGATTAACACAAAGACAAACACCTATAAAGGTGCATTACAGTACTGGTATAGAAAAAAACAGAGTTGAATGTAATGAAATGCCATTTTCTGGGTAGAGCCCCGGAGGCTCCCTAGAGTTATTGGACTAATATTAGCTAATACTGCATTAGTACTGGGCTTCAGTCTTATGGAGTTGTTATGCCTACCAGGGACCACTAGCCAGAACATGGTCCCCTCAGAGAGGTGCAGGGAGCAATGGCCTATGAAACTCTAATGTATAAAAGTATTCGTGTCTGCCATTGACCGGGGTTGAACACTCAGAAAGGTAGGCACTTCAAAACAGACCCCTCCTGGTAGAAATATTGCAACTTAAGACCAAACAGAGGCTAGAAACTCCCCCCAAGAAAAATAAGAAAAAAGCAACACATCATCACACTGTGCGCCGCTCATTCGCGCTGATCACAACCCCTCCCCCCCTCCCCCTGGAGGGGTAGAGGGGTCCTGGCCCACCGAAAAAAGGCACAAGAATGCTTGCGAAACGAAGCCGAAGAGACGACCACCTAGAATGCAAGCTGGAGCAGCTCCACTAGCGCTGCGCAATAGGAGGCAACAGTATTAGGCATCAAACGACGGTCCTGAAAAAGCCAAGACAGAAAAGAAAAGACAACCCGATCCAAAATAGAACAAAACCTACAGAGAGAGAAAATGGCGGAAAGAACACCAGAAACTTCATACTATCACCGAGATGAAGCTCTCGGGTGGGACACCATCAACGAAACCAACTGATTACCATACAAATGGTGATAAACCTGCGTCAAAAAGACCAGACGCAAAGAGCAGAGAAGACTGAACCAGCCATGTACCAGACTGGAGCAACCTGCTGGAAGAGGCAGAGCATCTTGAAACCTGTCCTGAAACAGCCAAGAAAGAAAAGTCAACCCAACATGATCCAAGACCAAACATAACCTATGCAGGGAAAGGAAATGGCAAAAAGACAGCCAAGAGACTTCAGACTGTTGCCAAGAAGACCACAGGTGGGATACCATGAAAGAAGCCACCTGGTCACCATACAGATGGTGATAAACCCGCCAAAGAAACTCCAAATGCGAAGCACAGAAGAGTAGAGCGAATCAGCAAGGTACCTCACCAGACCGATCTGCTGAAAGAGACAGAGCCGCAGAAAACACACCAGGTTCGGACACCAAACAAGCAGCACCTGAAACCAGGGCTGGGCCAATCATGGGGCCAGAAGGAGAACCCTCCCCTGATAGGACTCGAGCTGAGCCAGAACCCGAAGCAACAGCTGAACCGTGGGGAAGAGATACAGATAACCGCACCTTAACCAGTCCTGCCGAAAAGCGTCTACAGCAAAGGCCTCGCAGTCAAGGAAGGGCACCACATATACGGGTGATGCCTCGACCATGCCGACGTGAAGAGGTCCACCTCTGGGGGCCCGAACATCCAGCAGAGCCAACTGAAGGAGTCGGCGTCAACCGTCCATTCCGTGGATAGGGGATTGAACCATGACAGGCCGACCGCCAGGACATTGGACATGTCCCGGATATGAACTGCTTCATGCAAGCAAACCTAGCCCATAAAACAGCAACTGCCTAGAAAGCCTCCAACTTGGAAGGTGGATTCTATCAAAACAGATCCAGTGAGAACATACCTCACAGGTCTTCGGGTTGTTAACATCCCCAACCCAACAGGCAGCAAGACAGGGGAAGAATACAAATCATCAGATAGCCAAGATGAACACCCCTCAAACTTACATAGTGAAATCGGGCTCGATGAGGTACTCTCAGTTTAGAACAGGAATTTGAACAACTGATTAGAAATGTTAAAAAGAGAGATAAAGAAGGCAAAAAGAAACTATGAAGTGTGCATAGCAGGGCAAGCAAAGACAAATCCTAAAGGTTTTTTCAATTATATCGAACAAAGATTAGGGAAAGGATAGGTCCATTAAAAACTGAGACAGGTCAGATAACAGATAATGACGAAGAGATGAGTAGTATTTTTAATAAACATTTTATCTATTTACTAAAGAGGAATTTAACAATATGCCTTCAGCCGAACAAGTCTATGTGGGTGGGGACGAGGACAGGTTGACTAGTTTAGCAGTTACCAGGGAGGATGTAATTAAATAAATAGTAAAACTCAAACCAAACAAATCGTCGTCTCTTCACTTTTTAGTGTGTGGTTTGGTCAACATTTTCAAGCCACGTTATTGTGATTCCTCATCTGCATATGATATGAGTTTCAAAAGTGTTTGTTGTATTTACTCGCCATTCTCCGTGTTGTTGACATCCAGACGTTCCCGCGCTGCGAGCCCCATCAGCTGATTACTCCATTCCAACGTGAAGAAATTAAATAATTTTTTTTTTGTATTAACAGGCTTAGGTATACACAGCATATTACCAAAAAAAACTTGCAAATACACTGAAAAATACAGAAGTAATTTTCTATTCAAAGTCAGCTCTTCAAGGAATTGAAAATCCAACAAACAGAATAGATATCTTGTCGTTGATTGATATCTTGATATCTTGAATATCTTGTCGTTGATTGAGAGTCATTTATTTATTTATTTATATATATACAAGAAGGTACATTGGGGGTCAACAGAGAACATAGAGTTTAAGTTGGAATTACATTCTTGTAAAGCCACTAGCACGCATAGCGTTTCGGACAAGTCCTTAAACTAACATAAGAACATAAGAAGAAAGATAAATGCAGAAAGCCTATTGGCCCATACGAGGCAGCTCCTCTATCTATAACCACCCAATCCCACTCATATACATGTCCAACCCACGCTTGTTAATGCATTTTTAAACTCGGTAACTAGGAGCCCAAGCGAACACATGCGGATGATATACTGATCCACACCAATGGGTATACCAACACCCAAAATGTTCTGAACTCTGTATTGCACACATGTCAGGAACTAGGCTTGTCATCTCAGTAGAGAAAACAAAGATCCTGGACCGACGCCCACCCAGACGGGGTGGGGCCGTTCGCAAAATGCAGTTGCATGATGGCTCTCTGCTCGACTATGTAACCAGATACAAATACCTTGGTCTTGAAGTTCCACTGTACCGCAATGTTGTAGCCAGACTGGGTCGCCAATGTAGAGAGAGGCTCCGTGCTCTCAAGGCTGTGGCAGGCTACCATCCAAGCTATGGTGCAAATGTGAGAATTGTCAAAATGATGTATCTCTCATATATTAGGTCTCTGATTGTTTATGCTGCACCCATGCTTGCTCTAGTGCCTGAGAGAATGCTTGGAGGGCTGGAAAAGATGCAAAACGAAGCCATGAGGATTATCCTCGGATGTCCCCGTACAACTAAATTACTAAACATGAGGAAGGAACTGAATATTTCATGTGTAAGTGATCGTATCACTGAAATTAATGCTTTAATTGGTATCAAGATGCTTAGGCTAACCCACCCTAACCCCTGCACTGAAGCCCTCCAAGCCTTCTTCCTTGAAGATCAGCATCCCTCCAAATGGATTACCGTAACTGCCAATGTGCTCAGAATGTATAACTTTCATCACCCCTACCAAGAGAGACAACAACAACACTTTCCTGCCCTATGGGAGATCACTCCTTTCCAAATTACTGTCTCCCCCTTTCTCACCCAAGAAGCTGATTAAAGAACAAGCCTTGCTTTGACAAGAAGCAGAGTACAATGCCTTAAGCCAAATTGATGCTTTAGTCAGAGAGCGCTCCCTTTCCCAGATTATTTACACTGATTGATCCTTGCATCAGTCTTATGGTGCAGCTGGAAGTGCAGTTGTTGTGACAGGGAGAGATGGTTCCTTCTCCCATGAGTGTGGAGCGCGTCTAAGTAACTGGGCCTCCACTCTTCAAACAGAATTGGTTGCCATAATCCTTGCACTAGAGCGCGTATATGAATCCAAAGTTGACACGCTAATTGTAAGTGACTCCATGTCATCCTTGACTGCCCTCAGCTCCCCAAGGCATAACTGTGACGTGCTTATCTCTGAAGCTAGACACAGATATAATGAAATAATCAATGATGGAGTCAGAGTCTGTCTTCTGTGGATTCCTTCCCATATTGGTCTCCGAATGCATGATAGAAAAAAAACTGATGAGCTAGCCAAGACTTTTGCTCGTAAAGAGGGAATTGATTACCAACTTGGACTGCCTTTAAGCAGCCTGAGGGCAGCAATATCCCAGGAACATCAACTAAATTTCGGAGACTTGAGGCAAAGTGAAATTCACACCAGTTACTCCATCTACCATCATTCTATTATGCATGAAGAACCGCACGTCTATGGATCATCCAATAATGTTAGCAGACTTCTAGATGTTACCACTGCTAGGCTTAGGCTCGGCTACAAGTACCTCTGGGAGTTTGTAACATCTGCTGATGTAGATTTGACTAAATGTAAACTCTGTCAGCAGAACTATTTGCATACTTTGCGTCACTATATAATGGAATGTAAAAAAAATTGCGGAATTTAGAAATAACACCATCAATAGTGTCCAAGAAATGTGTAAGTACTTCATTCATGATGATGTGCTGCCCGAAATTTTAGCGAAGTATCCAAAATTTGCTTACTGTAGGTAATGCATGCACATGCTTGTAAAGCTGCCGCCCAGTTGGGTGCCTTGTATAGTGACTGTTGTGAGCCTCTTGTTGAATCACTTGTGACACAAAAGATTATTGTTGTGTGTACTTGTGTGGGTGATTAGATATGTATGTGTATATGTATACATGTATACGTATATATATGTACATGTATGTATGAGAATGTGTACATGTGTACAAATGTGAGAATGTGTACAAAGTAGCCGTCACAACTGCAAGAAAAATGACAGGTTGGATAAGAAGAACTTTTCACACTAGAGATGCTATACCGATGATGATACTTTCAAAGCTGGAGAAATTGCTGCCCTGGAGAGCGTGCAGAGATCCTTTACTGCTAGAATCCACTCAGTCAGGCTGCGAGCAGCCGCGTCTAACAGCCTGGTTGATCAGTCCAGCAACCAGGCCTGGTCGACGACCGGGCCGCGGGGACACTAAGTCCCGGAAGCACCTCAAGGTAACCTCAAGGTATTTATATATATATAACATTAATAATTTTGTAACTAGCGTCAAAAATTTTTATTTGCTTAGCTAAACGAACTAGAGGGTTCAGTTCCTGAACCGATTATGTGCCTCTGCAATCCTTTACACCACCGCCCACGGGATGGGTATGGGGTGCATAATAAAGAAAGAAATTGGAAATTGGACCTCACCTTGCCCGAAACGCTATGCGTACTAGTGACCTTAGGTATTGTATGTACTAGCTCTATCTATAAATCAATCAGAATGTTTGTATCTCTGCATCTATGTATGTACTTTTCCTAAATAAATTATTATTATTATTATTATTATTATTATTATTAATATTATATCCAGATAGAAATCCAGTCGGCTCTCTTATCATCTTTCTAAATTAAAAAAAATACAAATATTTATTCAGGTAAAGTACATACATACAAGGTAAGATACAAAAGTTGATGGATTTATAGATAGAGCTAGTACATACAATGCCTAAAGCATTATTATTATTCTGTTCCCTTTGATTCCACTAGGGAGATAATCGTTGTTGGTCGAGGAACGACGACGCTCGAGGGATCGGATGCACCCCGGCTGCTTTTAGATAGGGGAGACAGTGGCCCTCAGATGAAAATATCAGTAAATAGAACCCTGGAGGAGGCGCGTGGCCGTCCTCACCTGTCTCTTGCCGTCAGGGAGGGTTTATCTCAGGATCAAGTACTCGACTTGGACTGGGGAATTTTCGTACGTTTACTGCCATATTGTTTTCAATTAATTGAAATGAACACTTTTTGTTACTTGTATGGGTTACTTAGTAAGTTATTTTAACTTGTAGTGTTAAGTGAGTCGCTGGTGCGTGAGTGTTACACAAGGCGGAGCTGGGCAGTGTTGCTGTAACAGCTGATTGTGGCACAAGCTGTTTACGCCCACAAGTTTATGACAGCGTAAGTGTTTCCTCAAGTAATATTTTAACTTGAATGCATACAGGGTCTGTGAATGAACTATAAACGCAAAGATGCAACATATTTTGTGCTGATATAAGTTATAATTAAGAAAACTTAATGACATTGTATGGGGCATCATTTTCATCCTTCGACTTGGTCCTTATTTTGTTGCGACAAATAGTTTCAGTTAAGTATATTTATCCGTTGATGCAACTTGAGGTAGTTAATAACTAGGTTGGGATTAGTTGCTGACACTTGTCACAGGACTCGTGTAACATTTTTCGATAAATAAACATTATCATTATCACATGGTGAGGTTTCCCCTGTAAACTCGACACCGGCAGGTAACACACAGATTAACATAACTTGTTTGTAATTACTGCAGGGTTTACAGGGATGCCTTGTGTGTATCATTAGTGGGGGGCGAAGCTTCCTTTATTATAATGTGAAATAATATCTATAATAACTTCCATAAAGTTTGTGAATGCTCGCTAAAGGAATGCTGTGCTATTTATAGACAGGTCAATATGACACTGTTACTTGGAAACTTCTAAAACTTATTACCTTCCATCTCACTCCATCATTTTCATGAGTAGGTTAATGTCTTATAATAGGTCATTTTTAGGCTATCTTCATTATATAACACACCAGAGTCATTAATACATTATTTACTACAAATTTTGGGTCGTTATCAAGCATTGGTAAGGTTTATATTTCTTGCTCCAGCACGGTGCTGATCCTAAAATATCTATTGGGCAATGCTGGTAGATGCCTGCCACTTTGCCTAGGAAAGTTATTTATGTTCATGTAGCATAAAAATACATTCTTAATTAAAAAATCATTTAGTCTGAATTGAGAAGGAAGTTCATCAATAAAATTACACTACAAGCTGGTCTGTAGGTGCAATACAAGTTGCATGCAGTGTGCATTGTATCAGAAGTAGTTTTGTAGTACTATATGCAGTTATACATATTTGTTCAGAGTTTAGAAAATGAAGGGTATTTTTTTTTTTTTTTTTTTTGCTTTATATGGGTTGAACACTCTTTTTAAATGGCCTTCACTGTTAGATGTGTGCCAGACTCCCACAAATGTCTGTATTTTTGTAATTTGCAAATGTATTGGATTATATTATCTTATTCTTAATTGGAGAGGATTTCAAGAGTGCTACTACTACCTGAAGTTATCAAGACTTCAGGTAGTAGTAGCTGGTAGTAGTAACTTCAGCTACTACTACCTGAAGTTACAAGTTATCACAAGTCAAGCCTGGCCTGGGGGCCAGGCTTGACTTGTGATAACTTGGTCCAACATGCAGGCGATGAGTCACAATAACGTGAGTGAAGTATGGTGACCAATCCACACACTAGAAAATGAAGGGACGACGACGTTTCGGTCCGTTCTCACAATCGACTTGACAATGGTCCAGGACAGACTGAAATGTCGTTGTCCCTTCATTTTCTAGTGTGTGGGTTTGTCCAACATGTTGCTTTGAGCGGCCCGCAGGCCCATACATCCACTACAACCCTGTTGGTCCGGCACGTCATGGATAATTGTGTGAGGCTAACATCAAGTTTTTGGCCTCCAACCTTGAACAGACACATTCTCTTTTTAAGATAGATTTGTAAGAATTGTCTTTAATGATATGTGGCTAAGGCACCTTTAAGATTCACCATGTTATTATGCATATGAAAATACATAGGAAAAAATGGTTCATATGCAGTGAAACATTTTCCAAATTTTAAGTGATTGTACTGCCAGATTCTTTATCTCCTGATCATATTTATGATGCTGATTAGATAAGCTTGTTCTGTCACCAGTTACATATTGATATGTTCTGGTATATGTGGGTGAAAGTAATGTTTCTGGGCAAAAGCCAAGGAAAAGTAAGCTCACTATGCTTTGCTGTCCCAATGCAAACTTCAAAAGTTGAGGCTTGCCGTAGAGATGATTAGGAATAAGGGTGCGATCCCTGTCATACTGTATATGGAATTCTGCCTGGACGAGGCATTGGCAATAAATGGTGGTCTAGGGCAATTGGAATAAATTGCCAGCTGGACAATTATTGCAAGGCAAAAGCAATTACTGCACATTCATGGACAAGTGTGACAAGTTTTAGATAGAAATAAAATAAATGCCAGAGATGGGGCACATTTAGCAGGGACAGAGGTGGTTGCTTTGACTAGTTCACTGAAGATCACTGTTGCTAGTATTGTTCAAGGTTCAGACTGTTAGAAGTCAGAGGTATGAGTGTCACTCAAGAAGTAGGAAGTTGTGGCCCAATTGGACATTCTCTGGGAAGAGGATTGGAATTTGGGAAAAATAAAGAATGTGGGGATAATATAAATGAGGCGAATATTTTCATGGAAAAAGAAATATACGTAGTCATAGAAATATCTTAAGATTGTTCTATACAAATACCAAGAGTGTTAGAAAATGATGAATGAACTACAAGTGCTTGTTACAGTATTAATAAATATTGTGATAATAGAAATGTGGATGAAGGTAGATCCAGTGAACTGAACAGTCAGGCAAGGGAAAGGAGTGGTACTGTGTGAAAGAAATTCTTGACACCTACCCGTCCACTGCTGCCAGCCTATCCACCCAATTTCCTGCTTGCCCCTCCAATATCCATCCATCCAGTCCCCCTCCACCATCCATCCAGTCCCCCTCCACCATCCATCCATCCAGTCCCCCTCCACCATCCTTCCATCCAGTCCCCCTCCACCATCCATCCATCCAGTCCCCCTCCACCATTCATCCAGTCCCCCTCCACCATTCATCCAGTCCCCCTCCACCATCCATCCATCCAGTCCCCCTCCACCATCCATCCATCCAGTCCCCCTCCACCATCCATCCATCCAGTCCCCCTCCACCATCCATCCATCCAGTCCCCCTCCACCATCCATCCATCCAGTCCCCCTCCACCATCCATCCATCCAGTCCCCCTCCACCATCCATCCATCCAGTCCCCCTCCACCATCCATCCATCCAGTCCCCCTCCACCATCCATCCATCCAGTCCCCCTCCACCATCCATCCATCCAGTCCCCCTCCACCATCCATCCATCCAGTCCCCCTCCACCATCCATCCATCCAGTCCCCCTCCACCATCCATCCATCCAGTCCCCCTCCACCATCCATCCATCCAGTCCCCCCCTCCACCATCCATCCATTCATCCATCCAGTCCCCCTCCACCATTCATCCATCCAGTCCCCTTCCACCATTCATCCAGTCCCCTTCCACCATTCATCCAGTCCCCTTCCACCATTCATCCGGTCCCCTTCCACCATCCATCCATCCATCCATCCATCCATCCATCCATCCATCCATCCCCATCCATCCATCCATCCATCCATCCATCCATCCATCCATCCAGTCCCCCTCCACCATCCATCCATCCAGTCCCCCTCCACCATCCATCCATCCAGTCCCCCTCCACCATCCATCCTATGGCACCACTTACAGTGCAGGTGGAAAGGAAACACCCCTACATGGAGGTGCTAAAGTGAAAATAGCACTCTTCCTAGTAAGGGGTGGGGATGAAAGAGTAGGTTCGTACAGTATACTAGATCGAGATGCAATGACGGAGACTTCGGAGGCTGTTCGTGAGATCAGGTGTTTGTAAGCAGGAGCTAATGTAATGTACAATGTACTCTACTATAATTTTATAAGTCATTTTCTGAAGTCTCATGTTCTGGCACTGTCATGGCATATTAACTCGTTCCTTTCCTTGAGTACTGAAAAACTATTGTTTGATCAGTACGTCTGATTGTCACTTTGTCCATCATATACTTAACACTTTGCAGGCTCAGTGCGTGACCGCCACAGACTGCCACGTCATGCTCCCGGTGTTTTGGGCAAGCGTGCAGCGACACTGAAATGTGTATACTCATTTCTGTTTTCTCAACTTAATTCTTATGCTAAGTCGTTTGTTTTCGTATCATTGTGTTCGCAATAGAATTCCCTATGAGGGTATATGCATATAAGGTCCAAAAGCCCGGCGTGACTCCCCGACAGCGAAGTCCAAAGTTGGCATAACGTTACCCGTGAACGAGCAAAATCAGTAAAATGTGTATACTCGTTTGTTTTCTCACCTTAATTCTTGTGCTATGTCGTTCATTTTGGTATCATTGTGTTCGCAATAGAATTCCCTACAGGGGTATATGCATATATATGCAAAATCCCGGCGTGACTCCCCCACAACAAAGCCTAAAGTCGGCCAACCATTACCCCGTGAACGAGCACCAATTGGCACAATGTGTATACTCATTCAGTTTGATAACATCAATTTTCGTGTTATGTCTTTCATTTTGATATCAAATTGTTCGCAATCTAAAGACATGCATTTTAAATTATTCCCATAATAATAGAACAATAAATGGAATTTTAACAAATATTTTAAATTTTGGACACTCATCACCACAAAATTTATATATCTTTCCAGTGTTCTGACATCAATTGTCAGGCTACGTCGTCATTATCGTATTATAATGTACACGATATAAAGGCGCTCATTATGAAACCACTCCAAATTTGATCGGATAAAATTTTAATTTTTTACAAATATTTTAGTAATGGGCACAAGCACGAGTCCACCGCTCAAACTCGAGAGAAAAATGCTGGACGCGTATCCCACCCAGTGCATGATAGTGTTAACCTTCTCTTGTACTACTCCTAAACCAGATACAGTATATAATGTGCTTTAATCATATCATTGTTTCATACAGATTAGAATATTTCAATTTTGTTTCCACAGAGTCACGGAAAGAGAGTGGCAACATGTCTGCTGATGTGGCAGAAGAACTGGTCTTTCACTGTACTGATGATCGGTTCTTTTTAGAGCCGGTGAACTCCAAGCAACTCTTGGTAATTGATCGGATAAGCCATGAAATCACACTTGAGGAAAATAATGGTCAGATCCCCTTCAGTGCTTCAAGGAAGACTGTGTATGGGGTGGTTGGAATTATTCATCTGGTAGCTGGACCATATCTAATTTTAATTACTAAGAGGGTGAAAGTTGGAACTTTAAATAAACAAACAATATGGCGTCTTGCAGATACTCAGATTGTACCCTATGCCAGGTCAACCGCCTCACTAACTGCTGAACAAAAAGTATACAATGACAAGTATTTAGCTATGGTTCAGCAAGTTTTGTCAACTCCATATTTTTATTTCTCATACACATATGATTTAACACATACTCTACAGAGACTTTATTACACAGCAGAAGATTTCTTGCAGATGGCATTGCATGAGCGTGCTGATGTAAGATTTGTTTGGAACCAGCACTTGCTCAGAGACCTGTGTGTTCAGCCAGAAATAAGTGCATTCTGCCTCCCTCTGGTTCATGGCTTCATTTCCATTAAGCCGTGCAGCATCAATGGAGAGTGGTTTACATGGACACTGATATCTCGTCGAAGTGTATACCGTGCAGGAACACGTATGTGGATGAGAGGCATTGATTATGAAGGTACTGTTGCCAATTATGTTGAAACTGAACAGATAATTGAGTTTAGAGATTTCAGGTCATCATTTGTACAGATACGTGGGTCAATTCCCCTTCATTGGACTCAAGAGCCTAACCTTAGATACAAACCTAGCCCTGTAATTAGTAATTCCAACCATGAAGAGGCTTTTACACGGCACTTTGAATCTCAAGTACTGTGCTATGGAAAGCAAGTTGCAATAAACCTAATAGATCAAAAAGGGATTGAAGGTAAGCTGCATGAAGCATTTAAGCATTTGATTACAACTAGTATCAGGCAGATGATAAGAGACAATGTTAAATATGAATATTTTGACTTTCATCATGAATGTCGTAAAATGCGCTGGGAACGTCTAAGCTTCCTAATGGATCGTGTGGAACCCGATAGAGAAGCCATGGGTTATTTCTTATTTCGAGATGGAGTAGTTCTTTTGGAACAAGAGGGTGTTTTTCGCACCAACTGTATAGATTGCTTAGATCGTACTAATGTGGTACAGTCCATGCTAGCCAGAAAGCAGCTGCAATCTGTCTTAACTCGAATGGGAATTCTCAGTGAAAATCAGAAAATAGAGGATCAGTTCTCATTTGAAATTGCTTTTAAGAGTGTTTGGGCGGATAATGCTGATTTTTTAAGCATTCAGTATTCAGGGACTGGTGCATTAAAGACAGATTTCACTCGCACTGGAAAGAGAACTCATATGGGTCTTCTGAAAGATGGATGGAATAGTGCCATTCGATACATAAAGAACAATTTCTTTGATGGTGATAGACAAGATGCTGTGGATCTCTTCCTTGGCAAATATCAAGTAGAGTCAGGTGAGGGTGCGTCACGTCCCTGCCCACTGAAGGAAAACAGAGACCCTAGATTGCTGTTCCTACCAGGGGCAGTTTTTATTTCTCTACTGATGGTGTTTGCATGTATTTTGCTACCCTCTGATTATACATCATTTACACTCTTATCCCTTCTCTTCTGGGCAGCCATGACTGTGGTTGCTGCGATTGCTACACTCATGCAAGGCCGGCAGCTTGTTAATGCACCACGCTTGAGTTTATCTACACTCAAAAACCTCACAGCTCCCCCTAGAGTTGGGTAGATATTCATGGTTGATGTGCAAATGTAGCTAGTCTTATCTTCATACGATCAGTAGTGTGTATGCATGTGTGCTTGAGTGCATGCATTTAATCATGTTTGTACTGGGTATGGTCATGTGTTCATGTGTGCCTACTGGGTATGTTCATGTGTGTGTGTGTACCCAGAAATTGTTATGTGTCTGGCTATATATTTCATGCATACACACAATGCACATTTGCTTATGGACACGTACAAATTTGGCTTTGCATTTCGTGAATGGTACAGTATATAATTTTGAACAGTAATCATAAATTATGAATCTAGCGTGTCAGTATTTAATGGAATCGGGAAAAAATTGGTCATGCTATGAAAGGTTTTGAATATTGAAGTGGCATACTTTTTGATGAAATGCATTTTTTGCTATACATTACTGCAAAGGACCATCCACTAAATATATAATAGTGTAATTGAGGCTTTATTTTCTAGTGTAACAAATGTACACATATGAGCCTGCTTGAATGTTTGAGAAAGACCATTGCCTTGTTATCTATTGTTCCAAAGGAGCTACAAATGCTAAGATTTAGGGGTGCCATGAGTAATCTAATATTTTGGGATTATTGACTTATAACCACTTTGTGCATGACCTTTTTTGTGTTGATTGTCATTGTTTGAAGATAAAATATTATACAGAATTTCAGGGCTTGATTAGGTTTAGTGACTGAAAGGGTAATGCTGTAGAAGGTTACCATAGGAGAAATGTATATTGTCAGTAATATATAGCTCATCTGACTTAGGAAATGAAACTTTACATGATGGTGAGTGATAGCATAGCTACATGGTGACTGAATTGTAATAATTTCAAATGTCAATGAAGGATCTCCAATTTATGGTAATGAAATTTGTAAGTATACTATGATTTAGTGGTTTTAATGCACTGATGTTTTTATTCTTTAAAGTGCATTATACAATATTTTAAATTTCTTGTTACATTTAGAATTCTCTTACTGGGTACAAGCAATGCTAATTATTTTAACTAGCCATGTTGTTGAATACAGCATATTATATTGTACCATCATTCATGACATCATTAACTTGATGTGGTGTATGAATTCTGCATTTTAATAGTTCAATAAGCCTTGAGTGAAAACGAAAAAATAATAATTGTAAGTGGTTATTGTATAATGGTTTTCAAGAAAGTTACTGTTGTAAATGAATGATGGTTCTCAGCAACACACAGTCATTCCAACATTCAAACAAATATCAAATAATATAACAACAGAAAATAGTTTTTAGGATAAGTATATTGCAATGTCTTGTTAGCACTTTTTTCTGTCCATTTTGTGAAGCACTACACACATGATTTTCTGCTGATTATTATTGTATTATGAATTATTTTGCAAATTAAAAAGTTCAGTATTTTAATTTTTTTTTTATTTTAGGGCCACTGAATACAAATTAATATATTAAGATTATATGTAAACTAGTATGTCTTAAATAACCAGCCTGTTTTGGTTTATATGAGAAGCTTATTCTACTAGAACAATTTACAACAGTATTGTTCCATTATTTAATGCTCTGTCTTACCATAGTTGAAGACTTTTTTTTATCTATTAGCAAATTCTTTGAATGATAAGAAACCTGTGGTACTAGTTCTTGATGAGTTAATAGTGAACTGTTGACACAGTATACTCTTATGTTAAACAGTCTCTCTAAGTTCCGAGGAAAGAGAGAGAGAGAGAGGGAGAGCACAGATTTTATATTAATATGTAAAGGACTTGTATTTTTTACACTACCACTTGTCATGTATGGTCATATATTCCTCAATGAAAGTAATTCTTGCAGTATGTAGTCTTAGCATGTTAAGAGGGATCACCTTGACGTATGCAATAGCTTGGCGCTCATCAGTCTTGTCATGTGCTTGCATTTCAGTACTCTTGCAATTTTGAAAGACTTCATTTTAAGGTGTGTATGTGCACCAAAGAGAAAGAGAGAGAGAGCAGTATATATATTGTATACTGTATATACTGTACTGCACACAAAAATATGCATACATACGAGCAGTATATGTATTGTATGCAAGTGCTGAATAGGAAATTACACTAACAATCTGAATTTTATAAAAAAAGATAGGATTTGTCAATTGATTGTTTAATTAACAAAATGTAATTATTTCTAAATACTGTATAAACTAACTTAGCAAATTGACATGTCAGTTTTATCATTACTGTACTGTACTGCCCACAATAGGTAAAATTAGGCCTAAGTTGAAAATTCATGTAGTAAATATATACTATACTGTACAGTATTAACATTATTAAAGGGGTAAGTAATTAAAAAAACTTATTTGAAAATACAGTATACAATATTGCTCTAGGTGTGTTAGGCAAAAAGGTCTATGCTAACTAGGCCTAATCATGCAGTTCTGGTTATTAGTTACAACATAGATTGTATATAAATAAATGGAAAAAATGAATTTTACACACACGCACGTTCTTCACCCTTCCCCCCAAAAAAAGCTAATAAAAACTCAGCCTACCCACCCATATTCTGACACCTCTCTCATTCCCTATCCCCTATCTACCTAGATACTGTAAGTATACAGTATTCTCAGAGGTACTGTTCCACAATTGTGTACAATATAATTGCATTCAGAGTCATATTTCAATATGCTGAAACTTTTTAGCAGTGTAAGTCAAAATTGCTGAAAAATCAGGTCATTGCTCTCTGAAAATTATTAATTTTATTTTTGTTGAAAACAGCTCAATATGCTAAGAACTTCATATTATGTAAATCTATATAACAGATTTTGATTATTCACTTAAGATGTTTAAAAGCTTGCAATGTAAGTAGACAATATTGTAATAATGCACTGAATGTGTATTTCCTCTCTGCCATGTGATTTAAAGTTTAGCAAACCTTTGCTTATTGTTTGTGGATGTTTTTTATTGACCAAGGTGCACATTTTGAGAGGAAAAAAAGCCCAAAGGCTGAGCTTTGGCTCAGGGAGTGGTATTTTGGTTTGCAAAAAGCCTATATGTGCCTTTTCAGATTATGTATAAACATTGCATTTAAATGCACACTGACGTGCTTGTGGTATTTTATAACAATCTTTGTAATGCTGTCTTACTTTGCATGCAGTATATTAACACATTGCAAGAGGTGAATGGAGACTGAAAAGATCGTAGACTGTATAGGCAGCTGACCCTGTGTTTACCAACATTCCTCTACTCTGATAATTGATGCAATAAAGTCTAAAATGAAACAAGTTGTTGAGTAAAGCTAAATAAGGTATCATCTTCATCTGAGCACAAAAGCAGTAAAGTTTTTTTTATATAGTAAAGTTATTATAAATGTATTATTATTTATTTCCAAAAGTTGCTGGTTGGGGGTCTAATCTAACAAAGTGTTAGATTTCAATACTGTATATTTACTATAGATGCTATATTATGTTCAGAAATATTGATATTGTCACCAATATTCAGGTTCATTGAAGCTGCTTGGGATTTTGTGCAGCGTATCAGTGTTTTGCTTTTCCTGAAATAGTGATAGTCTTACACAACTTTCATCTTATCTCAGAATTACTCTTCTATGAGGATACATTCATCTTATCTTAGAATTACTCTTCTATGAGATACAGTACATTCATCTAATCTCAGAATTACTCTTCTATGAGGATAAAATAATTGGTTTTACCAAACTAGTAATTTCCAACTGTTTTGGTTTAACCACATGTTACATGTTTATTTTTTGGGTTATCAGACACTAATAAAAGAGAATTTAAATATTTCAGTTTTCTTTTACATATCCAAAAATGACAGCAGTGTGATCAGTTACTTATTTTATAATAATTTTATTAGTCACCTATGAAAAATTAACCTTTATTGACTTATTGATTAAAAGTTCTATGATACTGTAACTAGGTCACTGATAAAAGGTTTCAAATAAAAGGAAACAGTCAATAAAAGTACTTAAGAGGATACATTATAAAATCTTGATAAAACTCGTGTGAGGATTGAAGCTCGTCTTCCCATTAACTTGGAAAACTGAGCTTGGGGAAAGTGGCATCACCAGAGACAGGAAGTATCTTATAACCAAATGTTATGAAGATATTTGTGCCAAAGTTATTCTAGAGTAGAACAGAAGAACACTCGACGGATGATTGAAAACAAAAACAAACCCATGACTTTGAGATTGTGAGGGTCCCAAAGACAGGCCAGCAGAATGTCGTTGAGAAGCTCTGATCAGACTGGTTGTGTTGTCAGTGATAACACCAACACTGACCACAATGGACTCTCAGCATGGTTCTTACTGTGTTTGGGTGGTACATTCCATCTTCATTTATTGCTAGGATTTAGGCTAGATGGTAGAGCGAAGGTCTCACTTCATGCAGGTCAGTGTTCATTCCCCAATCGTCTAAGTGGTTGAGCATCAGTCCGTCCCCCTGTCCCGTCCCAACTCCTTATCCTAATCCCTTCCAAGTGCTATTTAGTCACAATCACCTGGTGCTTTTCCCAGATTCTTTTCCCTTCCCTTATTGCTAGGAAATGAACAATTCTGGTGCTTTGGTGGAGGCGATGGGACCTGTGGCCAATGTTCATGGTATTGGCTCTCTCACAGGAGCTGTAGGTGATGGCAGTTTTGTAATTATCTAAGTGTAGTTACAGGATGAGCTTGTGTCCCGTCTTCCCAGCACTTTGTCATATGATGGTTTGAAATTACTGACGGTTTTGGCCTCCACTTTCTCACCTAACTTATTCCAACCGTCTACCGCTGTTTACAAAAGTGAATTTTCTTATATTTCTCCGGCAGCTTTGTTTTGTTAGTTTAAATCTATGACCTCTTGTTCTTGAAGTTCTAGGACTCAGGAATTCTTCCCTGTTGATTTTATAGATTCCTGCGACTATTTTGTACGTAGTGATTGTATCTCCTCTTTTTCTTCTATCTTCTAGTTTTTGCATATTTAATGCCTCTAACCTCTCCTCGTAGCTCTTGTCCTTCAGTTCTGGGAGCCACTTAATGGCATGTCTTTGCACCTTTTCCAGTTTGTTGATGTGCTGCTTAAGATTTGGGCACCTTACAACCGCTGCATATTCCAGCTTTGGTCTAACAAAAGTCGTGAACAATTTCTTTAGTATTTCTCCATCCATGTAATTAAAAGCAATTCTGAAGTTAGAAAGTGTAGGCTCCTCGCCTACACTTTTGAGTCTACAGAATCGCGTCAATGAAGAGTAGCCATAGGCACAATCAGAGAACACTGAACGTCAGAGGTCCACAGCTGTTTTAATATCTTGCCAGAAATTATAAGGAGGACTAACCGGGCTGTAGTGGATACGTGAACCTGCGGGCCACTCCAAGCAACAGCCTGTTGGACCAAGCTCTCATAAGTTAATGAGGAGAAGAACTCTCAGAACCTCACATGGCAAGCGGCCACCGAACTCCATCGTCAATGAGTCATAAATTAAAATTTTAGTTCTTTTAAATTATATTTTAATGAAGCAAATTACAAATTATTATTAAGAAAATATTTGAAAATAATTGTTATTAAGAACAAGTCTTTATTTGTCTTTTTAAATACCTTTTATAGTATAGGGCACTAGATATTTATTTTCTAGTGGTTGCGACCTGCATGGCACGTGGGAGCCCCGGTCCACGTTGTTTACTGTGGACCCGCGCCGCCCAATTGTAAAGAACTTATGTTAATTGTGATCTTTAGTTTCAAGTGAATCAAAAAAAGAAGCCTAAACGTACCAGCGCGCAGGCTAAGGCGGACACCCACAGAAAACGCCTGACGGCTGCATAACATTTGGAGTTAATTCAAAAAACTTGACAAAGGATGTACTCATGCACGGGACTGGCAGCAGAGTTTAACATCTGCTAAAGTACAGTAAGTGGGAAAAAAACCCAGACGAAATGTTATTGAAATATGTGAGCACTACAAAATGTGCTACTTCTGGTGCTGCATGCTCGACGAAGGCATTATAAAAGCTGCTCAGTATCAACAATCAATGAATGGTGTAGTGTATAAGTGGTTTATTCAGCACCGAACAGTTGGCATTGCAGTGCAATTTAAAGAGCTTAAAGTTGCAGTAAATAAAAATTGCAATTCAATTAGGTATAAAAGACTTCACAATAAGTTTATTCGTTTATTATGCACCCAATACCCATCTTGTGGACGGTAGTGGACATGGGATGGGTGGACTGGGATTGAAGCCCGCCAAACACACGCTGGAACTATGACGTTGCAACAACGTCTGAACAAGGTTTAACGTTTAACAATTGTAACAACCAATATAGCAAGTTTTAACAACGTTCTGATACGTCATAAAATGTCATAACAAGATGTAACGACTTTACTACAAGTTGTAACAAGGAGAATTATAGGGACCGTTACGTTGTGTGTTTGAAGGGAGGTTCAGTATGACATTTCAAACGCCAAAGAAAATTCTTACGAGGCTTCAGTTGTTAATCCCACTAAAGTTGAACCCTTCTAGGATAAATTAAATCAGTCCATTGTCAGTAATAATTTAAGCAAATATCAAGTGTATAATGGTGACGAGCCAGGGTTTACGTGGTGAGCTGGACCCAGTAAATACTTGACTAGTAGGATGCAGAAAAGTATCCCTGGACGACAAATTAGCAAGGAGCAAGCATTGCTCTGTGCTAAGTTTAGTTCATTTATTATGTACCTTATACCCATCATGTGGGCGGTGGTGGAAAGGGTTACAGAGACACATTATGGGCTCAAGGACTGACTCCCCAAATTCATTTAACTTTTTTGAAACAAATTTCTTTTAACAATTCATTAAAAAAAAGCTTTTGCAAGGAGGTTAGAGAATTCCAGATCAATAAATGTGGAATGAAGGTCAGTGAAGTTAAGGCATGTTACTGCTAGATAATGCGTCTTCACACCCCATTTGCAATTTCATGGGATGGAAAAATTAAATGCATGGCGCTTCCACCAAATACAGCCCTGATTTATAATTGCTGCTAAACGGGTGTTCTAAACAGTAATGCTTGAAGATGTTTTAGTGGTTTTACCTAGCAAGGAGGAGGTATTGACAGGGAAGGATAGGCTCAAAGAACACTAGAAAAAAAATACACAGGGAAGCAGTTTTCCACTGGGCTAGGCTTGGAATAAAGTGGAAGAAACTGCAATTAAATTTTTTTAAAGAAACTTAAAAAAGAGAGGCCTAGAGGCGAAGCAGCAGTATCTGATCATGAATTCGAAGGGCATGAAAATGTTGGCAATAATTTTGAAGGGTTTGAAGAAAGGGTCCATATAAGTTTCTGCAGTCTGGTCAGGATGTAGGAGTGAATGATATCAATAAATGGTTAGAAAATGATTACAATCCTAGTTATGAATTGTCAACTGGAGAACAGATTGCTTGAAGTGTTCTTGGAAGTGGTGCTCGTTCCACCACGATGGTGGTGAGGCTCTGGCTAAAGGTGTCGTACATCAGTAAAGATTGCAACACATTAAGGACCTCGTTGAATATTAAAGAAAAAGTAAATATGTGGTTGGAAATTTTTATGTACAGTACACTTCATAATTTTAAGCAGTTCTCAGCATGTTAACGAGAGATAATTTGATTCAGATGAAATTGATAAATTAAATATTTCAACTGCCCGTGAAATATCTTTCTCTAGAAGTCATGCTATATTCGTCGATGCTGAATTCCCATCAACAGTTAAATCATGCAGTATCCCCAGACGATGAACAAGTCCACTACAGTCTCACCATAGTCCGTGCTACCGGAACTTTTTGTTCCGAGTATCTGAATCTAAAACAACAACAACGGTGCCGATGATATAAAATACGATTGAAATGCATATACATTAGTGTAAAAGGTGTACAGCACAATACTGTAATTTGTTGTGTTAACAAACTAAGCCTTGTACATTGAACTGCACATAGTGTAAACAAAGAAATGTTTCACTTGTACAAGTGTGTTACAGCTGATAAGTCAATATTTTGTATTCAAGTGGAGTGCGTTCATACACGAATTAGCAGTAGACCCACTGTAATGTGCAGCGAAGGCCTGAAAATAAGTGCATATATATAGTTTTATAAAGTGAATGATAGAATCCTTGTACAGTATACTGTCAAGAAGAGTACTATACTACAATGAACAATAGAAAATAAGCGCAGCAGAGGATGATGTAATCTTCACAGCTTCGTGAAAAGTAAGTCAATTTGCCAATTTTATTATTAAAACATATAATTATGCTTTTTCAACATAGCAGAAAGTCTCTGTAACTGTATATTCTGTCATTAGCAACTGTATATTCTGTCATTAGTCCCCAAAAAGAGAACTCGTAGGATTTCTTGATTAGTGACAAGGCCCGATCGCCATTGTTTTTCTCTTCGCCACAACCGGTGTATTGTAACAATAAAAGATATAAAAATACATTACTTCTACAGGGAAAACACAACACATTTCATATTTTTAAAGAGAAGACACTAACAATCATTTATTGTTACAAGTGAAATATGTTGCCAGCACTACAAAGGAACTAGTCGATTTTTTCCACCCATCTGGACTTGATCAGACCGTGTTCAAGCATACCGTACAGTAGCCGAGAGTTAGTAATTGTTATGCACCTGATATCTATCCTGAGGGCGGTGGTGGAAAGGGTTAGAGGCACATAATGGGTTCAAGAACTGAATCCCATAGGTCATTTAGCAAAGCAAATAACAGTCTTGTGAAGCTAATTACCATTTTTTTATTGCACACACTTGCATGATTCTGGTCCTTCGGATGTGAAGATGACCATGACTTCAATAT